TGAAAATTCTGTCAGCAATTACTCGCCCTCATGTTGCCCCAACCCCATAAAATTTCGTTCATCTTCCGGCTCAGAAAAGTTAGTAAAACACTGTTAAAGGGATGCTCCACTTTTTTTGGAAATACGCTCATTTTACATCTCCCACAGAGTTAAACTGTTGAGTTTTACCTTTGGTAATTTTTTTTGGGTGAAATGCCAATGGTCTTGTGCACTTCAATGATGTATGCTAAAAGTGGTACGGAGATCGGCTGAATGGATTCAAAAAAGGTAAAACTCAACAGTTTAACTCTGGGGGAGTTGTAAAATGAGTATTTCGTATTTCCAAAAAAAGTGGAGTATCCCTTTAAAATAGTCCAAATGACTACAGTGGCTCACCTTACAAGAATACTTTTGTGCGAACCCCCCAAAAAATAACGACTTTATTCAACAAACTCTCCTCTCTTCCCTGCCACTCTCTTATGCTATTCACAAAGTACAGCTCTTCCATGTTTTACAGCAGAACGCTGGTTCACTATTGGCTGAGCATGATCACATGATCAGATGCATGCGTTATGGTGCTTACGTGAATCGCGTAGCAGACTGGCATGGAGGCGTATAGACTGTTGAATTAAGTCGTTGTTTTTGCACACAAAAAGTATTCTCATTGCTTCATAATATTAAGATTGAACCACTGGAGTCACATGGACTATTTTAACAATACCTTTCTGGGGCTTGACTGTGGTAATTACGTTGCAGTCTGTGGATGGTTAAGATAGCGCTCGGATTTAAAAAAAAAAAAATTATTTTCATTTTTGGGTGAAGCAGCCGAGTGAAATCTTTTTTGTCTGCAGTTTCATACCTTCGATGCCTAATCGAATTTTCTTCAGTCCTCTGTCCTTCAGCACAGACTTGGCAACATCTCGGTTTTCAATGTATTTGAAGAATCGGTATAGTTTGGTGCTGTATATAACTGCATTAAACAGAAGACACAAAACCATTATGACCTCGAGTGCAAAGATTACACATAATCCTACTAATACATTCCTTACAAAGCTACACTGATCTTTGATAGATCCGGTCTTTCTGGCTAAAGACAAAAAACTCGCACTTCCAAATGTTAGCAAGTTGCTAGCTTTTGCTTCCGAGAAGTTAGTAGTTGCATATTGCCATATGCTATATAATGTTGTTATGCAGTGGTCTATGATTGTTGTTGTTATTAGTATTGCAATGCAGATGCTAGAGTGTTCTATACAGTGATGTGTTCACCCATTTTATCGTCTGCAAGGGCAAAATCATAAGATATCATTCATGCCTGTACAAACACTAGGATGAAGGTTGTTCAAAAAAAAACACAAGCACACATCACTAATGACCACAAACAATCAGTTCTCATAAATGACCCATAATGCAGTAGCACTGTGATTGACAAATAGGTAATAGTGTGTAACTGAGGTGCAGGTGAAGTAAACTGACTCTGTGAGTATTCCTCTCCCATTTGCGGCGGATATTCTTCATCCCAGTCGACCACGTCGTCATCCGTCAGCACCACCACGTGACACTCCCTCTCCCCGCTCTGAGCGCTGGCCACCATCAGGGGCAGCACCATCTCTTCCAGATAGAACTCAAACTGCCGGCGGGCGCCATCATTAGACAGCTCATGCATGAGCGCACCTGCGGTTGACATGTTCCATAGCGTTATGTTTTTCAAATCGACTCATTGCGATTCGGCAGCTGACTCACTGATTTGATTTAGCCATATAAAAATCACATACACATGATACTTTAAATAAACAAGCCATAACATACATGCTTACAATGTAAACAGTTCACACTGACAGCATCTAGTGACCCATATCTGGCAATCACAATGGACACGGCACTGACCTACTTCTGTTCTCTCGCATCTACAATCCTCAGACATCCAAAAAGGCAGAAAAATGTCCAGTTTCCCTGTTGCCGTGACAATTAGGGGGTTTTCCAGCACAAAAAGCCGAATCTGTTTAGTGCATTTGTCATGTTAATGAGTACTCACTGAGGTCTCTGCACTTGATGGTGCTGTAGTCGAAGGCGATGCAAAGGTAGTCGCATGCCTCTCTCAGCTCCGGGATGGATATCCCATCAGGGCAACGGATTATCCCTGATTTGTAGTAATCCTGCCAGTTAAAAGGGAGAGACGCAGAGGAAAAACAAACAGGCGGCCATTACTGAAGCAGCACTTATTCCAAAGATAAGCAAATGGCTCCGATGCCAGAGACACACACACCCCCCCTGCTTTTCCCACTCTTCACACGCACTGATCCATTTAAAGCCAGCCAAATGTGGAAAGAGCTCAGCACACAGACAGCATGAAAACCCTGAACAAAACACTTCACTGAAAAAAGGGAAAGATTCAATATGGCTGTTATTTCTGTAGTGCTGTCCTGATTTTCCACTGAGCTAAGCCTCATGGTAGAAGCTTAACTCTTTCAATGCCGTAGAGACGGGCTTGTAACAAATGCCATAGATTAGGGGTGTAACAATATACCGTGCCACAATATATCTAAAATAATTCTGTATTTTCAGCTTCAGAATCATGAATATTTTTATTCTGGTGTCACCACTCTCCTTGGGTTACAAGCACCAAGTCCAAGCCTATTCATTTAAACCTACAATGAAATATCAAATTTAGAATTTTAATCAACAGTACATTTTTTGTTAACCTTTTTCCATTTGTCTTGGAGTATCGCAATAATATTGTATCTATTAAAAAATGTAAGATACTATATATAAAATATAAATTCTAAATATGTAAATATATTCTATGATTATTTATAAAAATCTAACAATCCTGAAATTGAGAAACTTTACTATCATAATTATTACAATTATTAATATATTATTCATAAATCACATTTTAAATTATTATACACAGCTATGCTAACTTTTAGAAAGGAATGCAGTATATATCAGCCAACATATTGGTATATTAAAGCCGATAAATGATGGATTATTACTTCCATCTGAGAAACTTCAGATGCTCGCTGTTCTCCATGATGGTTTTGAATTGCTTGAAATATGATTGGAATCACTTCAAAAAAGAAAAATACAGCTATAGTTAAGTACAACATGCCAGTCTGACATATTGGCTACATAAATGTATAATGAGAACATTATAATTGTGTGCTTGGGATGAGGCTTAGTGAGACTTAATTTTGTAATCAGGCTCTCGAAAATATAGATTTATTGGCCAATATTTTGGTTATAGGCTTACAAAAACCACTTGTGTTGGGAAATTTCAGGAAAGCGAAAAAGAAATTCAGAGTATTAGCAATATTACCCATTTAAATGCATCTCCTTTAGAAACATTGCCCCGCTACACACCTTCGAAACACTGCTTTGAAACTTTTTAATAAACAAAACAAATGAGGCTCACAGCTCAATGTCTGAATGTTTCTATAATTATGCAGACTACATTTGTACATTTGTGAGGACTATGCTAGTTTTGTGCAATAAAGACTTAAGACTTTCTGTCAGTTCATTTAGAGCTGCATTCAGTGTCTATCTGTCTAATAGTAGTGAATATAAACAACTTCAGACAACCTACAAATACTGGATCTTGAAAATTTGTAGTTTTGTACATTCATAATATAAAACCCCTGCGATTTTTGTTTCAAGACCAATAATCATCCAGGATCAGACCTATTCGTTTTATCAAGCATGAATAGATTTTAAGGTCAGTAAAGTGACGAGGCCAGAAAGGGGGACTAAACACATTGAAGATAATAAAAGAAAGCAAAGAAACCAGACATTCTGCTGAGTTGGGTATTTCTATATGTGAAAAATATCTGCAGTAACTAACAAAACAGTATGCTTTATGCTGAAGTCGTGTGAATTTTGATAATGCAGTCTAATACAGCACTTAATCAATGTGTGGTACACTAGGCCAAAGAGATATTTAAAACCTCAATAAAGCTTTTAAAGCATAGTGCACTCACCAAAATGGCTCTGAACATGGTGGAGCTGATTCCCTCAGCAACCTCATACTCTCCCTTTTCATTAGGACGTGTGAAGTTGTGTTCCCGTCCAGATCCGAACATCCTTCAAGACAACGCCCACCGGTTAAAACATTGACACAATATGTCATACTGAATGATTATATTTAAGTAATAACAAGCAGACAAATTGAAAGGGGTGACCGAAGCTTATCCTAACCTGCCGAGCATAGTGTTGGGTTGGGCAGTAAAGATGGATGGGTCGACAACAAAACGCGTGTTATCTACAATCAGAGTAACTCTCTCTGCAGTCCTCAAACTGCGGGGTCCCTCCTTGACGTTTTCACACATGTAGATCATGTCAGAGCTGTGGGTTTTACTGTGGGAGTCGCCATAGAACAGGATGGAGGTGCATGATTTCTGAGGCCTGGGACTTGTGGAGCGCGATGAGCAGCCAGAATCCCGTTCACGGTCTGAGGAATCAATGTGAGAGATGGACAGAGTCAAACAATATCAAGTGAACCTTGCCAGTACAGACATAAGTAGGAGACAGCATCAGTAACAGACGCCGACCAACGAGGATAATCAACAGATTACAGTATGACACTTCTCAGACATTCCACGACCAGACAAGTGCGGATTCGATATGTTCAATCAACGAAAACAAGCTCTCCAAGACAGACTCCAAGAGAACAAATGGTAACACTGACTGAACCGACAAAACTCAAAGTTGTCGTCTGTCTGCATCTTTCAGTGCAGTGTAAATTGGCCTTTATAATCCATCATGTATACAAACAGAAACATAATTCAGTGACAATTTTTCATAGTTGTAGCTAGACAAGGTTATATACTGATGAATTAATTATTAAAAAAATAACAACCAAAAATAACAACTCTTGAAGTTTTTTTGAATTATAAATGAATACTCAATTGAGCATGGATGCATTCAATTGATCAAAAACATGTACTATGTTACAAAAGTATCTATTTCAATAATTTCTGGTCTTTTAAACTTCCTATTGATCAGACACTCATTAAAAATGTATCACAAAATCTATTTAAAAAAATGCCTGTCTTTTCCTTTGTTTGTGTCTGTAGTACCTTCACTGGAGATTTGATTGACCTTCTCACTGATAATGATAAGAAATGTTTCTTGAACAGCAAATCAGCATATTAGAATGATTTCTGAAGGATCATGGGACACTGAAGACTGGAGTAATGATGCTGAAAATGTAGCATTTCAAAATATATTTAAACAGAAAAGAGTCATTTTAAATAGTAAAGATATATATTTTTTACGTTTTTGATCAAATAAATTCAGCCTTAAAGGAGCAGTTCACTTTTAAAAAAAGTTTTGCTGATAATTTACTCACCCCCATGTCATCCAAGATATCCATGTCTTTCTTTCTTCAGTCAAAAAGAAATTAAAGTTTTTGATGAAAACATTCCAGGACATTCTCCATATAATGGACTTCAATGGGAACCAAATGGTTCAAGGTCCAAATGACAGATTTATTGCAGCTTCAAAGGGCTTTAAACGACACCAGACGATGAATAAGGATCTTATCTAGTGAAACAATCGGTAATATTAAAAATGACTCGAAAAAAGATTCATTCATGAACGCGCATCAAAGTCATGAACGCGCATCAGGAGTCATGAACGCGCATCAAAGAACAGAGCATGGCGAGCTTTTGTGCTTATAAAACTTTTTTTTTTTTTTTTTTTTTTTTAAGTGATCGATCGTTTTGTAGGTGAGACCCTTATTCATCGTCTAGTGTCGCTTAAAGCCCTTTGAAGCTGCAATAAAACTGTCATTTGGACCTTGAACCATTTGGTTCCCATTGAAGTCCATTAAATGGAGAAAATCCTGGAATGTTTTCATCAAAAACCTTAATTTCTTTTCGACTCTAGAAAGAATGACATGGACATCTTGGATGACATGGGGGTGAGTCAATTTTTAGCAAAAGTTTTTTTTAAAGTGAACTACTCCTTTAATGAGCATAAGGTACTTATTGAGAAAATATTGAAATGCTGTAGTATGTAATACAGACTCTTTATTCTGTTTTAATTCATTTGTATTACAGAGAATTCATTATTTGTCTATAGTGAATTTTATATATATATATATATATATATATATACACACACACACACACATAATTCATAGTATATATGATTAATATTAGAAAAATAAAATAAATATATTTTGATAGAGTTTGTTATAAAACTCAAATGCATTTCAATTGCCAAAACTCACCAGTGAGGTGCTGGCGAATGGGTGAGGTGACGTTCCTGATGCAGGGGGTCAGCTGTCCTTCACCCCTCTCGTGTGAAGAATCCCTGGAGCGATCTCCAGAACGCCGCGTCTCCCTGAGGTGGTCCAGGGGTCCTCCGCTGGCTCCATGCAGGCTCATTTTAACCAGCTCACCCTCCAGCTGAGCTCCACGCGGCTGACCACTGCCAGGAAAAGCAAACACACGGTCAGACACACACGTGAGCATTCGACTGCTGAGGGAGGAGTGCATCTCCGCAACGTGAGGAACTCGGCAAGCGCTCACAATAAACTTGGATGAACTCTGGGCTCTAAAAGACACGCTCAGTGCAGGATGTGTGATGACAACAAAGTGCAATTTCTCACTACTTCCTTAAAACATGAAACAAAAACATAGCAGCGCAGGTTCACTTTCAGCACAGCTTTATGCGACAACAAGCCACTGTATTGACCCGTGTAATCAGAGAGGATTCATTCCCATTTTATTTTATTCACCTCTGTGAAATGTGCCGTGCTTGTGAGGAAAAAGTCACTGGGGTTTAATTTGAACCTAATCCCTTCAGGTGATTTTTAATACATTAAAATAAAAAAAAAGCAATGCTTCATGAACATTTTTATAATAAAACAGAACTATATTAGATTATAATATTAAAATAATACTATATAATAAGCTGTAAAATACAAATAAATCCTTTACTTATTTTGTAAACACAGACTGTATCATCCAGACTGCCTATGCCCAGACCAGGTGCTGTAAATTTTTTCTCATTCCCCAGGGGGCTGAAACAGGATCATTAAAAGACAGATGCCCTTGAAGCAAGGAGACTGGAGTACAGCATATAGACCAAAGAAGAAAACACGATTTAAAAAAAATCTCTTCACATGGAGCTGAAATGGCTCTTTCTTCCCCTGCACTAAAAAAAACAAAGGGTCCACTGAGGCGTGCACAGGCAGAATATTCTGTTTGAATAAATGATTAATAGGCTGGAAATAGGGCTTGATTCAGCAAAAGTGCTGCCCAATATGGACCTCTTGATTCATTTTGACTGTCATCATGACAGTACCAGCCAAAAGCGTTATGACCCCATTAACCAACTCAAGCGTGACCAGTGCCCACAGCATCACTATACTCAACAGCAGCTACAAATTCAATAAGTTGTGCTGCATCTGTTTTGCTGCAAGTTCCATTATCCCATCTGCTTCAGAGCACACATACAATGACCTATAATATCCCACTGATAAAACAAGACTGTTTTTACTATTCCGTGTAAAGTGTGGTTACATTAGTCTTTGAGCATGCAAAATGAATACTCTTAGTTTAACCAAGAGCTCACTATGCGATGTTTAGATGGTTTTAGTGGTCTTTCCATGTGCTTGTGTTCCTATAAATAAGAATAGAAATTGAATGGACCACAAAGTGTGTCCTTTACAGTCCTTGTCAGACATAGATAATTGTACAGACAACAACACTTCTCTATTCAATCTAAAAACACAGACAAAATAGTCTCTAAAGAATTGCACACTGTGTTAACAGATAAAGTAACTTGTTTCATGTATTGTTTGCATAATTAATGATAACTATTTATTCTCAAAATAAAGACATAAAGACTTATGTGATTAGAAAAAAAAAATATATATATATATATATATATATATATATATATATATTCTAAATATAAATAAGTAGTTATTATAATGACAAAAATAATAATTATAAAATATTACTAATATTGATAGGTATTATATAAAATGTTATAAAAATGTATGCAATTACTTGTATTATATACAAACTCTCTTAAACAGAATAAATTAAAAATCAACAATTAAAATAAAAAAATCATAATAGAACAGTAAATAAAATAATGAGATAATTATTATTATAGTGTCTATTAAATGATAATAATATTACTATTACTAATACTGTTATTATAAAAATTACTATTGTATATACAAACTTAGTTGTTTCATTGCTAGTTTAAAGATTATTTGTGCAAAAAAGATAAAATATTTGTGTAAATAAAATAAAAACTCATGAGAAAATACAATGTAGCAAATTAAATAATGGTATAATATTAATAATAGTTATTACTATTATTATATTGTTTTATATTATTATAGTACCAATTAATTAATAATACAATAAAGTTGTATTATAATGGTGATTATTCAATAAAAAAATGATGATGATGATGATTACTAACATTGTTGTCATTATTAAATCATTATTATATACAAACCACTTTCTTTTATTGTTGTTATAGTCTTGAAATTATTTATTTGTGCAAAACTAAATTTAAAAAAAATAATTAAATAATTAAAATAATGTTAAAGAAGGTTAACCATTATCAGTTAAAATTATGGTTTTGGATATTGTTTAAGACTTAAAATACAACAAAATCATCTGATTCACTAGTTAAAAAATAAATAACAGTCTGACCTCTATGCAAACAATTGATCTACCAACACTTCTCGGCAGCTTCCTCAGTCCTGCTTTCTGATTGATATTTTAGCACAGCCATTAATGTGATGGTGAAACCTGAACTTCAGCTACAATAAGCATCTGAGCAGTCTGACGATTCCCTAAGCGGTTCACACAGAAATTCATTCAGCTCACAGGCTCGCATTCATTCAGCTTCTGAGTATTGTGCATGATCCACTGCCAATCATAGCCACAATTCTCAGCAATACAATTACAAGTCAAGATCTTGTTTTGCTTCTCTATTGCATCAGCCCATAAATGTACCAGTCAGAAATAGCACACAATGAATTCAGATGAAGGCATGTCTGTGGTGTCTCAGGACCCTTTAGGGGACAAGATCATATTCTTGACAAGCCAAGCCAATTGATGATCTGTCCCTCTTCATGTCAATCAGGATGAATAAAAAAAAATAAAAAATAAATGCATTGTTAAACTTGACTGTTGTTTCCAAGTAACTAGTGCACAATCCATTCTGTTACTTACAGAGAAAGTAGCATCAATAATTCAGTGCACTGCTGACACCGCTCCTCTAATGTTAAACAGCAAGACAATGCGTTTCTGAAGGGCACTGCATGCAGATATGGTTAAAATGACGCATAAAAATCATTTCTAAACGATAGAATATTTGATGGGCGAACTGCATCGGGAATATTCTCTTCAAATAAGACTCGTTGCGCAGAGGTAACATTTGCTTATAATCTCACGACTTTCTAAAGCGAGGCGACACTCTTTTTTTATTTGAGATTCATTCACACAGAGAGGCGCGCATACGTACCCGCCTGTCTTTAAAACAAAGCAGCAGGGCAGCAGCTGATGAATGAACGCACAAAGGATGCGCGCTCCTTCGCACAACGAGGGCTTGCCAGGCGACTTAGCATCCTCGGGCATTACTTTCAAACTTCAGTACAATCATAATGCGAGCACTCCGGTGTAACTTGTTCGCTGCGAACACAGCCTGTAAATGCTGTTCTCCGGGAAGAAAGGACGCCCTCAGGTAGCATCGGCTCGAGACACGACAGGACGGTAGCATAGTAACCTGACAGAGACGTTCGCGCGAGCATGAATGGCTGGTCGCTTTTTCCGCTACTGTGGCACGCGGAGGCAGCCTCGATGACGTAGCCCGACCCTCATAATATCTCCTGATACTGTAGATTCTCTCACGCACGAAAACACAAACGGGTGATGAAAGAAAAAGCGTGATGGGATGGAGCACGGCAGTCAAGCCAATGCGAAATGAACTCAGTGAACCTCTCCGCAACCGCACGAGGGTAAAGAAAGGTAAAAAAAGTGTTAACCAAGACTTATTATTATGGCCTTCTATCAGGAGTATATGAGAAGACAATTTAAAGGTGAAGAAAATGACCTAAAATCAATCAAAATAGTACTTCGACATAACCTTTGACAATAAAGGGTGCTCTTAAAATGAAAATCACCCTATTAATGTTACACGTACGAATATATGGGCCTACATGTAATATGTATATATATATATATATATATATATATATATATATATATATATACAGTTTACATTTATACACACGTACAAGTGTGTGTGTATTATAACGGTTAGTTCCAATTCTCAATTCTGACTGGTCAAAAGTTGTGCTTTATTCATGATAAAAAACGGCTATGACCGCTTCACCCAACAGTATGTATATATTATTTCCGAGCCATTATTTCCAATTACATCTGACAAGCTGTCTATTTCTCAACGGCCAGCAGGTGGCGCTGACACAAAGATGTGGAAGTTGTACATTATGTACAGAGGTGCTCTCAATCGTTTTTAAAAAAAAAAAAAAAATTTGATTAGTCCCTTTGAAAAGAAGCATGACAAGAAAAGAAAAGTTTAAAATCATGTACACTCATATCACTGTCGTAATAACAGCCGTTTATTTTTATGGAGCCAGTCAGCAACACAATGAGAAGAAACCAGACTACAGACTTTCGGTCACTGAACATTTCTTGGTATGGTGCCGGTGAATAGTGTGTTTTTCCTATGGCATTGCCAAATTTGTAATTTTGCATGATGCAGCGTGAAAGTCACTAGCAGGGTCACTAAGATGACCATATCAGCCAGCACTAATAAACAAAAGATAATCGATTGTTCATTGCACACTTAAGTACAATTATGCAAGTTGTGTTGCCCAGGAGCTAAATCCTACTATAATATATTATAAACAGACCCTATAAACAGATATGATATTAAAGGCTGTGATATTCCTTATAATACATCTCTGAAGATCCCTTATTCATCATAATGCAAAGTTCCCTATATAAATCAATATAAACACTAAAACAACCAGCTTGATGCATTTAATTTTAATATAAACTAGGACTTTTTTGCTTTAAAATAAAGTTTGTAGTGTTGACAAACACCTCATAGCTGGTTGGCTTGGTTCATGGCTTAGGCCTAAAAAAAAAAAAAGTTTGGTTCCGGTTGGTTGTCAGTTGAGGTCATGGGTCGGTAGGGATTTTTTTTTTTTTTTTTTTTTTTTTTCAGTGGCAGCAAGGGATGGGTAGGAAATTATTCAGGGCTCGACATTAAAGGGATAGTCAAACCTAAAAATATCAAAATTGAAACTACTGTGGAAAAAAAGACACCTACATCTTGGATGCCCTTGAGTTAAGCTAAAACATATGAAAAATTAATTTCAAAGTGAACTATCCCTTAAGCCTTTCACGTGCTTGTCCTCCGGACAAGTAAGTAAATCTGTCAATCACTTGTCCGAGTAAAAAAGTTGCTTGTCCGGATTTTTAAAATTTATTTATTTTTCATTCTGAAGCAATATTCTCATCAGTGTTCAATCAGCTTTGATATTTAAAAAGGCAAATTGTAATATCTGCACCTTTAAGGGCATCCCCTCGACCAATATTATTAAATGCCCTATAGTGTCTTATTATTCTAAATAATTGAATTTATTGATCAAATTTAGGAATTTAAAATGAAAGATGAAGCATACTGTTACCCTAGGTAGGGCTGATGAAATTAAATCATTTACACTGAAAAATTACAATTTCATAAAATAATGTTATGAAATTGATTTAAATGTGCAAATAAGAAATATTGGAAAGAATTATACTAGGCTACTTATAAACATAACACTAAACTGCCAATAGGTGGCGGCAGGCGGCCGTATAAATGAGTGAGTTATTGATTCATTAATTCAAACGATTCGTTCAAACGGTTGATTCATTCAAGAATGAGACAGATGTTGATGTTTATGAATGGGTCATTGAATCCTTGACTCAACCGATTCGTTCAAAATGCTGAATCATTCAGTAATGAAAACAGGATGAGTTCCTGTGAGATGCGTCGTGGTTCTGCTGTGACTTTTCTTTGGAACTATTTTCGCTGCTGAAATGGAACAAAAACACCCAATATTGCTTATAAACAGTAAGTGACTTAATCTTAACTGTTTATTGAACTGTTGTAGGAAATCAATGTCACTTTTTCAATCGTGATGGTATTCAGGAAAAATAATTGAGGCTGCTTAGTGCTTAACATATGTTAAAATATAAAAACTCCACATTTAGATTTTTTATAGGCAGAGTATGTTTTTAACCGTGTGTGTGTGTGCTCCGCTCATGTGTGCAAGTTAGATTTCTCTGCGCGAGCGTCAACAGCGCAACCTTACAGTAGGCCTGCTACATTTATTATCCACAATCGATCGCAACTTGCAATAAATGTAATAAAATCAGAATCATTCTCTCGGTTTAGTGATTCCCTAGTTATTTTTTTTTTGTTTGTTATTGATGTTCTAATCAGACTACTTGTCCGTTGGGGCGAGTAAAATTGTCTTTTACTTGTCTTTCAAAAATCCATTTGTCCCGGAAAAGCGGACAAGTTAGACGGGCTCTAGAGATACGAACCGCGGCAGGTTAGAGTGTTTTGGATTGCATAAAATAATGAAAGAAACGAACAAATACATGGCGAAAGAAGTGCTAGACAGCAGGAATTGGGATCATGATCGGATCATGATAGGATGATTTTTTAATAAAACTAGGCAGATGGAGGTATTAGTATGTGGTGTGTGCATGTCTATGAATGCATGCATTTGTATGTGTGCGAATATGAATAAAAATATCCTAAATTACAAAAAAAGACTTGTATAATATGTATTATAGTTCAGTTTGACGAACGATATCTGCCTCGTTTGTTAATAGATTGCTGGAGGACAAGATGCATCTTACATCGCGTGCTATAAAAAGACGGAGCTGTACAAAAACGTAAATTAATAGTTCGCCTCAGAGTTTTTTATTTGTGTATTTATTTAATTTTTATTATTTCTTCCCCAAACTCATAAAATAATTTTGGGTCGCACATAAATTGACAGGGTCGGTCGGAAACCGGAAACAAACAATTTTTTTTTTTACGCCTTATCAAGCTTGAACAAAGTTTATATATATATATATATATATATATATATATATATCTGGGAGAAATGAATGGAAAAAATACTTCTGGAACCAGATCGAAACTTGATGGCCCAGAAAGTCATTGTTACTTATACTTGAGCCACTGTAGTCACATGGAATATTTAAACATTTTCTTCAATGACTTTCTGAGCCTTCAGGTTTTGATCCCTTAGGCAGCCTATGTAGCAGTGATCCACCTCTCAAATTTAATCAAAAATATCTTCATTTGTGTTCCGAAGACGAACAAAGGTCTTACGGGGTTGATAGAGCATGGGGGTGAGAAATTAATGATTTAATTCTCATTTTTGGGTGAACTAACCCTTTTATATATGAACTATATTTAAAAATGCAATGGAATGGAAGTACACAAGTCAACAAAGTATATAAAATTGTTCTTGTGATTTCTAGTGAAAATCTTACATATTGTGCCTTTAACATTTGAATTAAACCACAATGGGTTTAATTGTAGAAGAAATCAAACGCATCTATTGATGCTAATGTAGTAGACTAGACTAACTATAGGGAATCCATGCAGCAGGTTGACACTCCTATGACTGGAAATATTTCTTATTATCCAGTCTTACCTTAAGTGTCTGCAGATTCTCCCAGACCGACACGCTGTCCTTTGATCCCAATATTCTGAATCGCTAGAGTGGCTGTCATAAGAGATAGGGCATGCTGCCATCTCAACAGAGTTGATATTACTGGACCTATATGCCTTCAGATCTCATAACCTAACAAAGCAAAAAGAATTTAAAAAAGTAAAATAATTAGTTTTTGCTCTAACTGTTCCCAAAATGTGCCTTTTATTTTATTAATTTCTTCCATCCACATTCATACAGTAGTTTAATGGACAAACACACACCTTTTGACATTGTTGACACACAAGCTAAGTTTTTGCTTATGATCCTTGAAAAATGGATCCTAAAGGAATATAATAATATAATATCATAAATCATAAGAAATATAATATCATATAAGAAGAAAAAAAATCTAAAAATGAAATAAGATCCAACTGGATAAAGTGAGATTCTGGGATTTTGATTTGATTCATTGAGCCCTGCTGGATATTACGTAATGTTTATAAGAACTCTAACGTTACTTCTGTACTGGAATAATGTTTAGCTGATAGACATTTAAATAAAATGGGACCTATATTATATAGGCAGCAAAATAAAAAATTGTCTCATATTTTCTAATAGAAAATATATCTTAGGATTCTTCTAGTTTAATATTATGCTTTATGATATTATTTGTATAAAGAAAGAAAAGACTATAGCATTTGCGTTTTAGTTAGAACAATTTCACAAGTGTTCACTCACTTTCTTTGAGATAATATGGATAAAATGTAACAAAAAAGCCCACAAAACTGACAACGTATTCTAACTTTGGTAACCTGAGCTATCGAACGTTAGCTTCAGTTAACGTTAGCTTAAAAGTGGGCGCTAAACAAACAGACGATCTCTCACCTGACTCTGCTTAACGCTGAACTTTCTCCACGATGTGTACGCTTCTGAGTCTCTGACAAAATAGATAGCATGCATTTACTTTAATTTACTATATTCACCATTCACGATGGGATACAGTGTTGACAGACTTTAAAGGTACATGGCTAACCAAGGAGAAGAGACCGACTGTGAGTTATCGCGAGAAGTTGAACACACGAGACGTCGCCGTAGAAACCACCTTGCGTCCAATCAACTGGTGAGGAGAATCACGCTGCTTTTGAAACATTTACATTGCTGCCATACAAGGAGCCATACAAAAATAGAATACAGAGGACTTAGTAATCATGTTATTTAAAATTATAATAACAAGAGTACAACAAAAACTAAAAAGGCAATACATAAAAACAAATTTAAAGAGCACTTGTTTGAAATAACCAAAAGTGCATTACAAGGAAAGAAAAACACAAATAAGAACGATGATTTTTTTTTTGCTTGTTTTTATTTTATATTGTCATCAAAAATAGAAAAAACCTTGAAAAATTACTTTTCTACATTTTCTCTTAAGATTTGGTCCTCTTTTACATTTTTCTTTTGGGTTCAGTTAATCTATGTTACAAACAAATAACTCATAAATACGTAGAAGTGCTTTGAGCTTTAATGTTATACGGCTTAGCCGCCAAAGAAAACTGGAATACTACATAAAAAATATAAATATTTTGTGTATAGAAAAAAATAAATAGGCCTATTGTTAATAGAATAATTAAAGGTGAACAGAATGGCTTGATTTCAGTCCCTGCATAGTCCACATTAGGTGTCAAATTCTGTTTTTATGATGGGTTCATAAGTTTTTCCAAAACGGCAATCATGTCTTCTGTTTCCCTTGGATTTAGATCCTTGAGATTGGGGAAAATGTCTGGAAGAAGTGCTGTTCTGTCTGCGTCTGTGTTCTTTATTGCGGCCGTGTGGATTTCCCGCAGTTTCGTCTGAAGCCAGTCTTGCCTCAGTTCAACATGTTTATGCACCCCGAGGTTATGCATAAGTTGGACTTCATTGATTGCCCGTTTGCTTTTGAAGAGAAAAAAACAGCAACATTAATAGGCCTAATATACAACGAAAAATAATGGGGAAGTATTCAAGTAGCGGCTATTAGCCTACCTCAATGGCTTGCTATCGGCATTTGTTGAATATAATAATATACAGATGGAGAAAAATACAGCTGTTTTCTCCAAAAATCCCAGATTGATGCTGGAAACCATTTTATGAACCTGCATGTGAAATAAAAGATAAATGAGCTTATGGTCATCATCATTTTATAAATGCAACAAAATTATGAATTGATGAATTAGCTATTATTGAACTAAATATCAGTAAGATTTGAAATAAAGCAACAACGCAAAAACATACCCAACTCACCTTATTGAGTAACAGGTTGCGGGAGTTCGTGCATCAGTTCATTAGAGTTGGTTCACAGTTGACAGGGTGAGCTCCCTTTATACCCCTGCGCCCATTGATGAGACGCATTCATTATTGGTGATGATGTCACCCCTTGCCCTGATGAAGAATGCGCGTGACAACACCTCTACAACACCACCCATAATTCACTCTTCATTACCTCTCTTGAAATCCCGCCCCTAAAACTTGAACTTCTGTCCTTAAAGTAGAGAGGTATAGCCTACAATTTCCTTAACAACAATTAGCCTATACTCAAACAAATAATAATAATTAAAAAAAAAGAACAAGAAAGTTGTTAATTCAAAAAGACAACTGAACTGTTAAAAGAAAATTGAAAGAAAGCTTGTTCACTAAATCAGGCAACACAAAATGTATTACAATGCATTACATTATTATATTATGTTATATTATATTATATTAGTCTATATGAATCTCAATTTCAGCACTGTAAAAAATATTGTTGGTTTGAAAAAAAAGTAACCTGGTTGCCTTAAAATTTTAAGTTCATTGAAATGGAAAAATTGAGTTAATACAATGAAGGAGATTAATTTAATCACCAGAAACTCAAAATATTATGCTATCTGAACTACATAAATTATCTAAGTTGATTTGACAAAAGAAAAAAAATGTGATTACAAATCATGAATATATTTTTTTACAGTGAGGAAATGTAATCTATAAACAGTAATCTGTAAAATGTAAACAGAGAGAGAGAGAGAGAGAGAAAATGTAAGACTGTTATTGTAAAATAACACTTCTGAAATATATGCTAGCCTATATTCTTGCATGTGTGAATATAAAGTTTTTTTTAAATAATACTTTTTTTGTATTTGTGTTATCATTTTCATGTGTGTGTGTGTAAATAGGCAATTATACTGTATATATATATGTGTGTGTGTGTGTGTGTGTGTGTGTGTGTTTTCTATAGGCTAATGAATAATTTATATTTTATTATCATTTATGTATATAGGTCTATATATATATATATATATATATAACACAAATTTCTGAAATAATATTTTTGCATTCACATATAGACAAATAAAAAGATTTCGTCTTAGACTCAGAAAAGGATTGCAACTATATGTCATAGCAGCTACCCCATGTTTCCTCCATCAGAACGCTCAGTCACAGGTGTCCAGAGAGGCACCCGAAGAGCCTACTTTTATGGCCACAGATGACAGATTAGGTAACTATGAGAGAAGTTTTCTAAATGTAGCTCATTGCTATGTCATGACACAGAGAGTGCTTTTGAGCACCTAAGCAGGTCTGACCCGGAGAGCTTGCCTCGTGGTGTGGTTAGGGTTTCTCTTCAATCTATCTGCCTACAGCTTCATGACTTCAAAAAAAATGGGGTATGACGGCAGGGAGCAGGCAGTCTGATGACACATGAGGCAATAATCATCTCCTGAGTCTGTGAATTAGAGAGTGAAGGGGAGATCATCACCCAATATATGTGTATTAATGCAATAACCAATAAAGTGCATATAAGCTGTATCCAATACTGCTTATTCTGATGATGCCCACTGCATCTCATGCATTGCACCTGTCGGTGAGAGTACTGTTTCATCCTCTGGCATTCTGCAAAACAAACTTCACAGGTGGCAAGCAATTAAAGTTGTTTACATACCATTGCAAGATTTATGGCTGACAAGGCCCGTGTGTTGGAGTTGGTTGACCTGGATCTAGTCTTTTGCGGGACTGATATGGTCCGAAGTGGGCATGGCCTGTTTAGATGACACCTGCCAAACAAATAGACCTTTGACCTTTGCATGGGATCCCTAGCACAGTCCTAACAATCTTAAGCAGTATTTAGACCCTTTAAAGGCAGGAGGGGGGACCTTTCAACCTGACAACTGTAGTTCTCATTACCTCATGGTTTATCAATGCAGATCATGTCATCGCAAGTGTGTGTTACCACTACACATGATTATTCAGGAGAATTCAGGGGGAGAATATCAAGTCACCTAAGGACACCCAATGCAATCATTCCACAGGTGTAAAAGTCATTTCCGCAAGACAGTGAATTGAATTTATATTAGGTGCCACCATGTGGCTATTATTATTTTTTTTTTTTCAAGGTTTATTAAGTGGCAAAATGTGCTGACTTGAAAACAACATCTGACGACTAATGAATAGCATCTGACAACAGGTGAAATATTCAACTCATTAAAGAGTGTATTTGCATGAAATTCTGGTTCTAAAGATAGTTTAAGATCTTAAGTTATTTTATAAAATCTCATTTGTGTAGTTTTCTGATGTGGCACATAAAAAACAAATGCAACAATATTTTCTTTTCATAGAACAAATTTTAAAATCCTTAAAAGACTAGTGTAAGAGGAGAGCAGAATAGAATATAGAATAGAATAGAATAGAATAGAATAGAATAGAGACAGGGCTAGTGTGTATATTGTGTATAGGCCTAACGGTAAACATAATGGATAGACTACAATTAACAATGGAAATAAAACCTTACTCAGAATGTGCAGTATGCAATGCAATACACAGATCAAATGATAAACAAATCATATAAAAATCACAATAAATACATAATAAAAAAGGAAAATTAAAGTATTTTGAAAGATTCTGGGAATAAACTTTTGTGACCTTTTTAAAGACGTGACGCTGACTGGGTCAAGCTTACGTGCCTACAGACATGCGTAGCACATAATGCACGTTCACATGCGATATTGCCATAGGACCGTAAAAAGACTGGTAGTAAAAATCATTTTAGCTGCTGTTTGATGACGCCATAGACCACGAAAGCCATTTCTTACAAGAAAAGCAACAAAAAGCAGCCTTTATGTGAGAAAGTGATTTCTACAGCAGTGAAAATAGTTGCCTGACAAGCCGAGTGACGCACAGAGAAGTGATGCTTATTCATGAATGGACTGAAGATATAAAGGTTACGTAGCTCTTCGTCTCACAGCAACGGGGTGATTTATGAAATGGCACATTTTCGGTAGCTACACACTACTGTGAACAGTTTTTTATGTGTCTTTCTTCTTCAGTGTTTTTATACGTCGTTTCTACAAGATAATTTTGTTTAACAATAGTTGTGTTAAGTTTTTCGAATTTATTTAATCAAATCGCAGCATGCCGTTGATAGATGCTGTCAATGCTTACTGAGCATGCGCAGTGGCGCACTGCACTGAAGCAGCAATTGGCGGAAAAATATGAGAGCGTATGTTCTTTATTGACAAAACAGGTAAGTACATGACAGTTTTCCTGTTGATTTTGGACTAAAATAAAAAAGTACATTAAATGCGTTTTAAATTGACTGCAATGTCAAATGTTTAGTCGCTAAGGAGGAGCAGTTGAACAAGTTGCTTCCAGTAACAATGTTTCCGAAAATCTGTGGAAAATGACGTCGCGTAACATTGTAGAAGTCAACTTTAGCTACAGTGTTTCTCATGTTTTACAAATGTAAACACAATAATGCTTGTACTTTTAAGGTCCATCTCTCTGAGAGAAAAGGTGACCAGCTGAATCCTCAGAAGCATGTCAGGTAAGAGGTAGCCTACACGATTTGACACATAAGTAAATTTGCAGAGGTGGACAAATAACCAACACAACTTCCTTACTTGAGTGAAAGTACAGATAGGCCTACTACTGGTCAAATATTACTCTGTTACAAGTAAAAGTTGTAAAGACCGATTTTTAATTAACTAAAAGTACAGAAGTTGGCTAACTACTCGTTTTTAAAAGTACTTAAGTATCAAGTAAAAGGTAAAATGTCAATGCATTGTTTTATTACTGTTGCATTATACCTCTGAGTGTGCCTCTGAATATATGCCTGCCTACCTACCCTCATATCAATATCACATTAAGCTATTGTGCTCCAAAAAAAGAGATAAAATTCGCATTTAGAAGACCGAACCCAACGTTGAAAATGAAAATCAGGTTGATGTCAGAATTCAACGACAGATTGACGTTAATCTCCAACGTTGGACAGACGTACTGTTGTTGAAAATGAAAATCAGAGCATCAGTCAGGTTCTGACGTCAACCTGACTTTCATTTCCAACCAAAATGCAACCCCTGCAACCAAAATCATCCCCTCCCCTGAGTGACGTTACAACTTTCTACTCAAGGACCTTGACAGAAATGTAATGGAGTAAAAATAACAAGATTTGTCTTTCAAATGCAGTGAAGTTAGTTAAATTAAAAAGTTTCCAGAAAAAAAATAATACTAAAGGACAGATACTCAAAAAGTGTACATAAGTACAGTCCTCAAGTAAGTCTACTTTGTTACTGTCCACCTCTGCAAATTTGATTCCATACAATTGAATTGAATGCATTATCACATCAACACATGTTATTGGAGGAAATCAGGACAAATAGGACACATTACTTTAATGAAGCATGCAAATATTCTCTAACAATTATACTAGAACTTGGTAGAGCATTCCTGTTTTTACATCAGGGTTTATGATAACACTTTGAACTAACAATGAGAAATACACGCATGAACTAACAATGAGAAATACATTGGTTATAGCATTTATTAATCTGTTAACTTAAGTTGAAAATACAACTGTTTATTTTTCATAATAGCTCGGGTCTATTTTACTAATATTAACAGATAATCAGATTTTGATTTTAATAATGTATTGGTAAATGCAGAGGTATGAATACTACCTGAAAACCATACTCGAGTAAAAATACAGATACCTTTCAGCAAAAATTCAAATACTACTTGAGTAAAAATAAGGATGAAGCCAGGATTAGTTCAATTAATTAGCTTTTAAAAAACAATCCAGTCTGAATCTTAAGACAAAACAATGGCACTAAGATATTTTAAAAGATATCAGTTGCTTTCAGTTAAAACAGCTCAAACATGCATTTTAGTCTGGGACTAGCCTTAAGCCTGGTCTGTGAAATCAGGGGTTAATGTTTCTGATTTTAACGGTACTTTTTTCTCATACTGAATGTAGGCTCAAAGAGGCACTGCAATATTATCAAGGGATTGTTCACCTAAAAAATTAAAATGTTATGAGGGATTATTTACTCATCCCTCAAGTTGTTTTTTTTTTCCACCACCATGTCCCTTTAGGGGCTCCATAGGATTCTGCTTACAATCTGATTCTGTGTTTGTGCAAACTTCTAAATCTAATTCTGATGCATTGCATCTTTCTAAATTTTGGTCAAATAACCCTGGTTCTTTATTGTTACTCTCTGATTTTGTAGAGGAAAAGGCTTCGTTCCCAACAAAGAGGATTTTTCCTATTGTTGAAAATGCTTTTAAAGCATCCAAGAAGCATAAAAACAAGAGAGTGAAGAAAGAAAAAAAGGATAAGAGCAAAGCCAAGTGTGTGCCCAGCTTCTTGTTGCATGATGGCTGCTGCGAGACAGACTTTACTCAAAAGCAAGAGACTAAAAAAAGAAAAAAGACAAAGAAGAAAAACAAACGCGAGGAAGACTTCCAGAAACCTAAAATCAAAAAACAGCCCAACAAACTCGAAGACACACAACTTCAGCCCATTATCTTCATCTCCCCTGATCAGGAGACAAAACAACAACATTCAACTGAGAACGAGAGTCATAGAAGAGTGAAAGAGAGAGGGAAGATTATAAAGAGAGTCATTTTCAACTTGCCAACTGAGACAAACCAACCTGCAACTAATTACAATGAACATGGAAAGAAGCAGTTTGTGGGCGAAAGCAGCTTGGAATCTAGTACAGCTGAAGAAATGAACAGCCAAGATCTGTTTATCACGCAGAAATCGTTCTTGGATCCATGTGTGGAGATCTCCAGCAGCTCAAGCTGCAATGAAGCCACTATAGCCACTGAAGCCACTGCAATGAAGGCACCAGAGAAGAGTTCAAGTAGGTCAACAGCTGAAGCGACTACTCAAACCGAGAACTTCTTTACCTTCTCAGCGCTCTCCAGCTCTCTCAGGTTTCAGCAGCAGAAGAACACGGCCACGTGCTCGGAGGAACCGGTGGACCTGAGCTTGCCGAACAGAACAAGACGAACGCACAGGCCAAAACATCCCGCCCTCGAGTCTGCAAATCCACCCAAGCTGAAGATATCAGACACGTCGAGTGAAGATGGTGATGCGGGATCCAAGAGCAAAGGTGATCTGCTCCAGCTGAAAGTCGTTCAGACTCGCTTGAACGAGTCTTTCTTTTTTAAGGTGAAGGGTGAAGATTCACCAAAGCCCATGTGCCCTTTGATGAAGTTCACGGAAAGCGTTGAGAAAAGAGGGAAGAAGTGAAACCGTACCAAGCTAAAATGTTACAGATTCGTGATGGGAAAAAAAGTAGAGTTCTGTGGACATTCAAAATAAGACACAAAACTTAGGCATTTGCAGTTTTATTCTGTATAATTACATTGTTCGCTTTGATGTTAACATCCAGTTAAATGTTCCTGTATATGAATCTTCCATGTCTATTGTTTACAAGCAAACATTGTTCACAAAAATGCATAACATTAAAATAGTCTCATGTTGTGTGGGAAAAAAAAAAGGAAGCTACAGTCTAATTGTGTCTAAATAATTTGATTCCCATCCACTTCCAAAGGTGAAAGAACACATAAACGGGAATAGTTACTGGCAGCAGAAGGCTGTAGAAACACACGCTGCTTGCACTCGTGCAGCCTTGTGGGAAATTGTCATCCACTGTCGCTGAGTAAAACAGTCCAGTCAAAGAGATCAGCGGCACAAGAACAGTTACAGTAGACAGGGAGAAAAACATTGTGGCAGAAAACTATTTGCTTTCTAAACTCAAGATTCAGTGGGTTTTTCAGCTGTTTTGGCCGTTTGGATCATTCGTGCATCCTGTGGGATCATGTTAGGAATACCATCAATGATAGGATATGCGATGCCAAGCTCTTCGTTTATTAATTCATTGTTCCTTTCGTCATACCTTGAACAAAAATCAGAATACATGTATTAGTATTACAATTACTACAATTCCCCTTGCAAATTTACAAAATACAGTTATTATAAAACATAATAAATTTTAATGGGATCTCCTTCATAATAAAGAAGGATGCTTTCATAAATATTAATTATGATATGAAATAATATCTACCATTTTTTTTCTCTTTTTTTTGGAAGGTGCAATTTAATTAATACATTTTAAAATAATAATTCAATTGTATTTTTATAGTGTTTTTCACAATACACATTATTTTAAAGCAGCTTTACAGAAAATGCATGAGAATTTAGACTGATCTGTTATGTTAAAGTAGCCTAACGTTACATACAAAATCACGGTTAGCGAAAGGGTATTAATTTAAACAATGTAATAATTTAATCCAAAACCAATTAGCTCATATAGACCATTTCACACGATGTAAACAACACTGGTCCAGAAACACTTCCTGTTTCAGTTTGTAACTGTTTTCTTTATTTCACATGTAAAGAAAATATCTTAAAGATGTTTGTTTAACTTTTTGATTCACTTTTAAATGTTCTGTTGGTTGTATTTTATCCCAGCTTTTATGTAGTGTTAAAAAACTGAAACAGGAAGTGCTTCTGGACCAGTGTTGTTTACATCTTGTGAAATGGTCTATAAGTAATACATACCTGTTTAAATAAATGATCACAATTTAATTATAAGGATTATATCATAAAAAAAATAAATAGTCTCGTTGTAATGTTATATCTGCCAAGTTAAAAGTTCGCAAGGACAATTATCAACCGGTGGTATATAACATCAGCACTGCAATTAAACTCCTATGATAACTAGCATTAACTTACATAATACTATTATGCATGGTAAACAATCATACCTCAAGGGTTTTTTGGACAGTGGACAAACAAGAAACTCGAGGAGGGACACATCAAATGCCTGACTCTCACTGCCCTTCACTCCATCACTCCGACTCCTCTGTTGTCGTCGGATCTTCACAGGACGCAGGAGTGTCTGGGCGCTCACAGATCTCTGCACGCTAAAAACTCCAGTGGCAAGGGTCCTTAATGCATGAGACATATCCTAAGAGAGATGGATGCTGGAAAACTAAACTTGTTTTCCCCGTTTGGCAGATGCCAACAGTGAACCGGAAGCGCTAAACTTGACGCGTCTGTAAACGTGTCCCCTGATCTTTTGCATTGGTGAAAGGTTCCGATGACAAAATGTTGGTTCCAAATGTCATACATACAAGATATAATAATAATTAACTTGACATAAAATATATTATAATAATTCAGGTGGCACTGAGCCCTTATTATGATTTAGAAACAGACACAATACAATAATTGTGAAATAATTCCATTGTTATACCGGTTTTTTTCCATTACATCACGTTTATTATTAATAACAACTGCACTGATCAATGTAATATCAAAAATATATAGATATAGTAATATCGTTGGTTCCAAGAAATCCTAGTGAGATGAATGCATACGCATTTCAAATATATTCATTGAATAGAATTGTGACATTGTATGCCTCATTTGCATCATAATTTCAACCAGTTTGTGTCGCTCTTGCCTAATACAAAACAGAACCCCAGCATGTGACACTGGAGAGAGGACAGATTCCTCATGACCAGCAGATGTCGCCAGTGAACCGTTTGTTAAACATCACACACTCTTGCAGCAGTGACGAAACTTGACTTTTTATAGCTTTACTTGTTGTGTGAAAAGAGCAGAGACTTATATCACAGGCAGAAGCTTCCAGGAGTGCATTTAAAAGTAATAAAAAGTCAATGACCAATCTCCTAATTTTTATATATATATATAAATGCACCATGTAATAAAGCTTGAATAATTTCAAATTGGTTTCTTGAACATGACGATGAGTTCACTGTACTAAAATGGCCCCCACAGTCACCAGATCTCAACCCAATAGAGCATCTTTGGGATGTGGTGGAACGGGAGCTTCGTGCCCTGGATGTACATCCCACAAATCTCCATCAACTACAAGATGCTATCCAATCAATATGGGCCAACCTTTCTAGAATGCTTTCAGCACCTTGTTGAATCAATGCCACGTAGAGTTAAAGCAGTTCTCGAAGGCGAAAGGGGGTCAAACACAGTATTAGTAGCTATGGTGTTCCTTTAGATGAGTTTATACAGCCTACTCGATGATGAGGAGGCCCTGTTGAGCATGTTTGCATGGATTTATATGACCTCTGTAAACATCAATGGGACACACTCCCCCCAATATCCCTAAATATCAAAGACATTTCATGTCAATATTTCTGCGGTTTCGAGCTGATGAGAGTTAGAGGCTTGGGAAGAAACCCGGGGGCTTGAGGTCATTCACCGACCTGCCAAGCATGTCAAATGAAACAAACCCGCTCAAGGACAGACTGGTGTGTTCTTCGTTGCACTGAATGAATTGATTGCCTCTGCTATGTGAAATCTCACTATAGGCCTTAATTGTCCCTCTTGTCTCTTTGGAAGATGTTACTCTGTGTCGGGACCATAATCACTGGGAAAACAAATACTAACAAATACATTAGGCTACATGTTCCTGGTTTGATTTTTATTGGTCAGTTTACTGCTAAAGTAAGATATTCCTTGATAAACATGGCCACTATGGTTAGCAAAAATGTTTTGAAAAAGAGAGAAACCTGAAGTCAGTTATGCAAATGTATGTGAGAGCCGAAGGGTTCTTGCCTTTGGCTGGGATTTTCTATCTCCATATTAAACTGTGTCAGTGATATCTGCTTGTAATTCTCTGGTGAGGTCTTTTAAACTAAAACAGTTTGTTCTTCGTCAAACGATGACAATTAGACAATTTCGCTGTCGCCTTATGATTTCCTGCCAGCAACCTTCACAAACGGTTTCACAGTTGCTAGTGAATCCATTTAATCAAGCTTGAACTCTTTTCTGCTCCATTATCTACCACAGCAGGAACGCTGAGCAACATACGATTGCATTAACTGTCATTGTTTTTTTTTTCTTTTCATTTTCCGTTAATGCAGATGGTGCCAATGGCGAGATGTAGCCTACGATTGAACAATATGCTTCTCGAAATGTGTGTGGGCCAGCACGCACCAGATGGGACTGGCTAATTTCTCGCACACGAAAGAATTAAAAACCATACGGTTTTACTTCATTTAATTCAGCTGAATTTAAGGATTCTAAATCTCCTTGTTTTAGTTTTTTTTTTAAATCTATTTTTTCAGACGGAAACATCTTCATTTATACATTAAGTTTATGTTACATATTTAAAACACACAGGCAGTATTCTTATTGTTTGCCCCATTTGAACAACACTTGTAGATGCACTACAGCAGATAGTAGAAGTTTCCTTATAGAGTAGGCGTAATTGAATAAACTCAGAGGATTGGGCTTCTCAGCCTGTAGGATTATGAAGTTCAGAAGTGCTAACCCAACACTTTTAAGGCCTGATAACAAGCTCTTGAAATGCTCTGGGCTTCTTACACTTCTAATACTCTCATCAATGAGACAGTGAAGCGGGGACAGTTCTGCCTTAATACCTTTGATTAATGATCATGCTCAGAATTTATAGTGCTAAATTAATTCTGGTTACTCTGCGAGGGTTTCATCAAAGCCAAATTTATGGATGTATTGCACCATTCACTACACACTACAATGTTATTAAATTAGTTTTTACAGTCTAAAATATGTTTAATAACAGAAAAGGGTAATCCTACCTTCCTTTACAAATGTGCTGAAATATTTTTACCAACTGAATTCACTCAGATATTTATTTTTGACATCATTGTCTTCCATTTCCACTCCAGGCCAAACACTACACTAAAGAGCTTTGGTGTACAGCCATTGTGTTTCCAGATATAAAATATGTTCATTTTCCCGCCTCAGAAGGTCAGTCGGAATAGGAGTTTTATTAGGAGGCAAACTGCATTTCTGACAGGTCTGGAAAGTGCAGAGAGAAATAGAAAGAAGATGAGAAATTGTTTCATATGATCGTCTCAGTGTTGATGTGTCTTTTCCTCCTTCTTAAAAAAAAAAAAAAATCAATACAGGCAATTTCAAGGATGCAGGTATATTTGAGACTTCCTGCCAAATGCACTTCTAAAACTAGATTTTCTATCTCAGGGGGTATAGGAGATTCATTCAAGTTTCTTTACCAAGAGATTGGCACGAGAATGTTGAGACACTTCTGTGGCTCAAATAATAGCAAACCATGATCTTCAGTTCCAACCCGATCTCACGAGAAGACATTATTTTACAAGATCGCAATTTCACATGAAATTGCATGTGTGGGTTTTAGAACAAGCAATTTTAGAAAAAGCATGATGGCCCACTCCTAACCACTAAACTGTCAGTGGGGTGTAAGCAGATTGTATGAATGAGATTCATGTACAAATTCATGCAAATTAGCCACAAAGTCACCAAAATGTAAAATGGTCGCATTTTCATATAAATGTGTTTGATTTGTATGAAAATGTATGATTGTTAGGAAAAATAGTAAGTATGAAGGTCCACCAAGTCACCAAATTGAAAAATATTGGTGATTTAAAATTAAATTGTACAATGTTATTTACAGTATATAGCAATATATGAAAAATAACCATGAAGATCCACTGGTAACCTTAACCGTCAGTGGGGCGGAAGAAGATCGTACGAAACCGTGCGGATGAGATGCCATGTGTGTTGCCAGTTGTCTTTGGAGTTCCAGCATTTCCAATGTCGTCACCCCCCCACACACCCCCATTTTTTCTAGTAAACCTTTTTAAACAGAACGACTCGTGAAACTGTTGTTCCTTGTTAAAGCAATGTGTGTGTCTGTGCTTTAAGGATTTGAGGGATTTGGATAGCTCAAGTGAGGTTGTCAAGTGTTCCTGACTTTGATTAAATGGGTTTTGTCCCATGGTAGATGGTAAGAGAGAAAATAAGTTTTTCTCAAAAGCAGAAACTGTGAATGAGGAAATTTAATTTCGGTGAATGCCAGAGATCTCTTTAAATGAATAGCAAACCATATGAACAGATTTCTGCCATTTTTTTATCATTATTACTTAGATGAAACCGTGTTTTAACCAGCTTTAGGTGGTTAGAAGGCCACCAAGCAGGTCAGACTTGTGTTTTAGAGGTTAAAAACACTGAGGCTTAACCAGTTTAAACCAGAAAAAAACGTTCGTTTCATATGTAAAATTCAAGCATGAAGAGTTAAAAGTTTTTAATATTATTTATAAAGATTATTTACATTTATAAAATATCCTTTTCCACATCAAATAATCACAACCATCATTCACAAACTTGAAAGAAAAACATAAATTAGTGCTACACAGTAGCAAAATTGCTAAATGCTTAAAGACACAAGAGTCAATCATACAGAAAAGCATTTGAAGGGACAGTTCACTCACAAATTAAAAACAAATTTCTGTCATCATTAAAACCTCATGTTAAACCAAACCTGTATGCCATTCTTTCTTCTGCAGAGCACAATATTTTTAGTGTTATTTTTATTCACACAATGAATGTCAATGGTCAAAATTGTTGTTTACCAATATGATTTGAAATGTCTCCTTTTTTTGGAGACATGTAACGTTGTAACTCACTGCTTAACTACCATAGTCGGTACATTGTTGAAGAAATCAACTAGCTAGTCGACTGTTTCCCGAAACCATAAATGTGTCCTTCAACCCCTTTGATTAATAATATCAAGCAGGTGGTGGAGTAATAACTTCTTTTAATTACAGTTTGAGATCGAATTAATGCCAGGTTTTTGCCATAAAGCATGGACATGGCATCACTCTTCAAAAACACACTTTAAATCTCTTGACAAACTAAAAGCCGTAAATAAAAATTGCATATATTCTAAATGAAAGATATAGATTGTATTGAATGTCAGCATGTTTATTTAGCTCAATATAAGGATTCATTAAGCCCACATGTCATGCAAACAAAAAACTTTGCTTCTAAACTCAGGTCAACCACACAACTTTGCGATGCTGTTTGCTATGGTTTCAGGAAACACAGACTCGCTGAACTGTGCTGATAAAAACGGAACTCGCGACCATGGTTGGCTAACAGCGCTTTTGGGAAATGCACCCCAGGTTTGGAACAACATGAGTAAATGATAAAAGAATTTTCATTTTTGGAGAACCATCCCTTTAAGCATCAGTGTTTCAAAACTCTCTTTTGGTCAAAATTAAATTCAGGAGACGTTCCATGAAGTCTTTGAGGTCCGGCACAAGACATGAAGATGTTTACAGTGTTAAATAACAGAGAACAGCACCCTGTCCTCCAGCTGATGACACAGCGATGTGTGTAAAGGGACAGTGATATGTCCCTTAAGACACCATGCCTATAGAACTTTCCCAGGCAATATGTTGGTAATTGTCCATTTTTGATTGCTGCACTTCTGAAGGGCCAGCTGATATCCATGATCCACTTCCACACTTTCCACCAATTCCAAACATCGCTTCGACTTCCTATTCTGAATGGAGCCTCCCTGCAATACACAACAAAAGAGTGAACAATGAAAAAGTTGTTCCAGGACCAAACAAGATATTGATTTAGTAACAGTAAGCAGGATACTTCTCAAAAAAACAAGGTTATATGATGCATGAATCTTAAAATCCCCAGAATCCAAGTGACTCTTAAGTGAGAAATCAAAGCTACATTTTTTACACCTGAAGAAACATTCCACTTTTAGCCAGTAAACACAGTATGAAATACACCGCTAAAGCCCAAAGCCTTTTAGAACAATGTCAAAAGGGAAGTGATGTTCCTAAAGTGAAGAAGAGCCTCAAGGATTCAGTCTTACAGTATTGAAGGATGCTCCGGAGACAGCTGAAACATGAAAGAGGAGGCCGTGGGCGATGTGTCGCCCTCGTCCAATCATCTGCTACCGTATGAAATCCAACTCAGACAAGTTGAATGAAACGCCAAATGTCTTGCTTCACTGGCTAAATCATATTATTGAAGATACACAGTTGGAATATTTGTTATTTGTGTGCCGCTTTATTATATTCATGGCTGCAACATTAGCATGTGAAAACAAAATGTGATATACTGTGCTGAATGTGAAACTAAATTATTGAAGAGAATACCATATGATATGGTGCATTAAGTTCTGGAAGTTTGCCATGGCAAACATTTTAAACAATTTAGACGGTAGAGTACAAAGTGTTTCTATATCAAACTTAACTAAACAAAAAACTTACAAGATTGAAATCTCTGAAATATAATTTTCAATTCAAGTAGTACAAAAACTACCAGCCCGATCTCACGAATTCGTACGAATTTTACGAGGTAGCTAATTCGTAACAATTCATACGACCTCACTCGTACGAATTAGTATGATTCTGCTAAATCGTACATATTTTCGTACATATGAAATCGTACGAATGACCTACCTTACCCCTTACCCCGCCCGTAAACCTACCCATCACGTGGGTTTAGACAAATCGTACGAGTGAGGTCGTACGAATTAGCCACTTTTTCGTCGAATTCGTACGAATTGGACATGAGATAGAGTAGAAACTACACATAATTTCTTGTGGTCATGTAGATTATAAACCAGGCATTATTAAAACCGCTGTAATTATAAAAGAATCTGGCATGCATCATTTAACAGGTGTGTATCACCGATAGGGACCGCTACATCTGCTTCAAATATGTCCCTGAAATAATAATATCACTGTTTTAACCCTGAAAGCTGGTGGTGCCAAATGACCAAAAGAGCTAAATGATACATTTCAGCTGGGTACATGTGTCAGGTAAGCTTAACGTCGCATTCATTCACGACCTGCCAAGCGGTATCATGGATACAGACAGATTGTCAACAGACAATGTAAGTCGATAAAGACTTAATTAAAGCCATTTCTGATGCTCTCCAATGAGCCAAAAACCAGTTCACTCTTTCACTGGCTTTGTCATCAATTATTCATCACATCTAAAAGGCCACAATGGATTTGGTGATTTCAGACCTGATTCCATTTTAAGAAACTCCTGGATAAAAAAAGGTGGCCGCCATAAAGCCTTTATCCCACCGAGCTCATCTGAGACTTAAAAACACGTCCCGAGGGTTTGTGTGAGAATTGATATCGTTCATACTCTTACACTTTTCTCGATAGCGTGTGTTTGTTCTTCTACTTCGACATCTCTCCCAAGGGGTTAGCATTACCCTTTCCTAATAACCTGTTCTGACATTTCCACCACACTTCAGCTAAACCTTTTAGATGACACCGCCTGCTGTGACATATATTCATTCATCCACCTTTTAATAGAGACACATTCATTACGCGGGTCGTGTGCAGATGAAATCAAGATGTCTGCTACAATCCAGAACGACGCTTGAGGTGAATTAGGAGAGCTTTACAGCACACACACACACACACACCTCTGAATTATTAATGCTCAATATCCAGAAAGTGTCTGTTGCAGTCACACAGCCAGAGGGCTAACAGATGCTGCAAATTGACAGCGAATTTTAAGGGAAAGTTTTGGACTAGTACTTTAATGTTCACAGAACTTCATAACAACAGTTTTGACATTGGCTTTTTTTTTACATTTTCAACATTTTTAGTCTTATGTTGCTGTTAAAGTCAGTAGTATGTTCCTGCACAACCGGAGGCTGCAGTTTCAGGACTCCAGTTCTAGGGCCGCAGTTCCAGGACCCTAGTTTTTTTGTGACAGCGCCACCTACTGAACTGGATGTATAACGGATATAACGGCGCCTACCGAACTGGATGATAAATCTTGTCAGAAATATATACATATATTGAAGATTACAAATACAAAAGCTCCTACAGCAGGTGGATTAGAGCAAGCTACATAACACAATTTAAAAGATTAATTTTACACTTTTACTTAAAATTCACTTTAAACCACCATCGAGTATTTGTATTGTATTCTGGTCAGGATTTAAAATGGTTTTAAGTTAAAAAATTATGTTGAAATACAAAACCACATATATTGAAATCGTGCATTTATTAGCTTCTTGTTTCAGGTGAAGAGATGCTTCTTAGCTTTGTTATCATGGAGGTCAGAATGAGGAAGAGTACACAGGACCGTGTCATGCAGAAAGGCAGGATTATGGTCACGTTGAACCACATGAGATGAGATGACAACTGTACAGCAAATGAGAGAGTGCTGAGATCATAACTGATGCAAATCAGGAAGAGGAGACACAGATCTCTCTTCAGATCGCATAATTCAGTGGAAAATGAATAGAAATGTTATTCTATTCCTAGACTTATCTAGGCACCAACCAATAGTTAGCATACAAACGTAATTTATGCAATAATCATACAATTTATCTAGAATATTATTACTTTACAAAGCATGAGAATAATAATTTTTTTGAGCATGTGATTCATTGTTTGCTTTGCATGTGTACCTGAGTGAAGAGCCAGGAGAGCTTCATGTGCTTGTTGCTGGCGTAGCTGCATTCCAGCAGTCGCGGTCGGCCGTTCACGTCCACCAGGCACTTGTTGTCATCGTCGTCGATGGTCGGACTCAAGCCTCCGACATGCAACTGCTGAGAGTTTGAGTAGTACACATTCTGAAACAACACAAGAGAAAAACAACTTTTAAATGACACATTTAATGTATAAAAGTGTATAAAAATATGTATTAAAAATATGCTAGGCTAATGTTAACATAAGAAAAAGTGTAATAATTAAGCAAGAGTAGGTGTGAGCGGTCAAAAATGTAGGCTACTTTTCTTCTCTCACGGAGGAGCGGGAATTTTTTAGCAATGTTAAAACGCACATCAACCGATCACCTGTTTAGCGTTCATGTAAACACTACATTCAGATTCACATTCAGTTAGAGTGAAACAAAATCTATGCATGTAACCCCTACTACTCCGCTTTCTCCACAGAACAAGAGCCTGCTAGCTTAGCTTCCAAAAAAAGATGGCTGACACTATGTGTTCATTCTGTGAGTGAGATACCACCCTCTATGGGCGGGTTGAAAACATGCGGGACAGCCTCTACTACTGACTGTAGTCTTTAGCCTCTGGCCAAAAAATCCTGCGATGATGCAAAATGACGATTTTTGCGTCATCTGAGAATTTTTTTGTCCAGACAAAAAATACATTAATCTCTCATCTCAGGGGAATATGAGGATGGAAAGCATGGTAATTCGAAAATACTACAGGTTTTCTACTAATACAAAGTTTAATGCTACGCTAAATTCTGAAGTATCCATTTTAAGAGACGTTCTCTTTAATCCAAGTCCTCAAGAGTCGAGGCCAAAGACGATTCAAAAGACCAGCAACATCTTTGTTTTCAAGTAGCAGGGAAATAAATCACCTATGGAAATCACGCAGAACCGTCACAACTCTGCTGTCATTATGTTAAGCCCACCCACCAACTCTATACTCGATGTGATTGGCCTGACCAAAGTTTGTTTTTTCCAGTTCGCAAGCCAACAGAGAATTGCTAGACCACACTGGCTGCAAAATAATTTTTGCTGCCGCTAGGGTGCATCTAGATTTCTACACGTTTACATAATTGTTTGATGGCATGTGGGGCAAATGGAATGAAGTCCTAAATCAATAGCCTGGGGGTTTGGATGGACTAATATATTACTTTAAAAGCCAAAGCTTTTAGACATCCCAAATAATTTTTTTTTTTACCATCTACAGCGATTTTGGCTATACAAACTTGTCAGTTCTAGAATATCAGATGCAGATGAAGTACACCAAGTTTTTTGACTTTGGAATGGCACCAATGCAAAACGGCTCAAACGTGAGGCACCTTGAAATGAAAATCTCTGTGAACACAAAGGCTGAACAGGCAGCAAGTGTATCTCCGCGGACACGTAAAACAACTAATCAGTCATTCACAATGGAAACAATGCATATCCTTCGGGATCCTTTGATGAGCACTGGAACTGTGACGGAAAGTAATGGAGGGCTAAAATGGGACGGGGAATAACGTAAGAGAGAAGAAAAATAAGGACTCAACTTGCAAGGGACCCATTTAGCACTGTTTCTGCTTGAAAAACCTTGCTTTTTACTGCTTGGGTGATTTATGGCTGTTGTATGGGAACAATGTTCCTTTTGCTGAATGAATTGGAGATAACACTCTGAAAGAAAGAGTAAGCATGTCTATGCTCCCTTTCCAACAAGCTCAAATCCCCGAGCAACTGCCATGGTGTTAATACGCTTAGCTGAGGTATTGTCTACCAGCCCATTAAAGATAAAACAAATCCAGGACAACAAGTACAGAGACGGTGATATCCTATCAGAATGCTTGAAATTAGTTTTAGTGTGCAAACAGGCATGAGATGCACTGTAAATCATGCAGAAATATTCTGTCTGGTGGAGAAGTTAAATATGTATACATGACATATACACTGTCAAATAAGTTAAGACATATTTTTTTACAAGTTATACACAGTTCAACTAATTTTTTTAAAAGTCAGTTGAATGCAATTTAAGTTCAAACGCCTTTAGCATCCAAGCTCATTGTACTTAAATTTAAGCCAACAACTTTTTTTTTTTTAAACTAACTTTAAGCATTCTGATAACATGTGACCAGCACATACACATATATAATCATAATTAAAATTGATTATAATTTTAACAATATATATACAGTATATATACACACATTACATGCACAATTGTCACAGTGGCTGTAATTATGCGCGTAATGGTGAAGGAATAGAAAAACAAAAAACTTCAAATGAATAAATCCTTATTGGAAAAGTCAGGGGATAGCTGGAGAAACAGTAAGCACAACCACTTCTAACATGTGAAATACAGGAAACTGAGGGCTTAAGTACACAGAGGATGATTGATTAATTAAAAACCAAGGAGATTAACACGGAAGTAAAGAAAACAGGAACAGCATATTAAAATCGTACAATAATAGCCATAGAGCCACTAAAATGTCCTATAATTAGCAATAGTGTAATTTGGATTTCCTCAACAGATTCTAGAAAGTTTTGAATCATCATTGCTTGGTACCATTGTGTCGTTTCCAATAAGAAAGGTGGAAACACGCGGATGTGAATTCAGCAGGTGTAAGAGACCTAACAAAGTAGTTAAAATCATGCTGACAGTGCTGTTCTCTCTCTCTTTCCCTCCCTCCAGCCCTCTCACTCGCTCTCATGTATATATCTCTGACACACATTCACATTCTACAATTCTTCCTCACCTAAATGATGCCTGTGGTGGTGAAAAACCCTCCCTGCTTGTGTTCCAAGTCATTGCTCTTTATTGAGATTCATTATAGTGACTATAGCCCTGGAATCTGTCTAAATCCGAAATCCCCCGGTGAGTCGATGCTTTATGGAGAAAGCTCCCTATTTTTACAGTATTTTTGCAGGATATCATTTGTTGTGGAACCTGGTGGTGTAATACACTCAGAATATGAAAAAAAAAAAAAAACTAGACTGGATTGCCTCAAGCAGCCCAACTGCTCAAAAATTCATATTTCGGGCATCAGCACAAAATAATGAAGAGGTTTTATGCAATATAATGACTGTTTTATAGGTTGACAGTCTATCACTGTGAAACACTGAGCTCGGTTGTAACAGGAAGATGGGAAAGCACAAGCCAAGCGCATAAGGAGATGCCGAAGCCAAATCTTCATAAAAGAGAAATCTTCATAGAGGAAATGACTCACATTTTCACCATGAATTAAACAACTGAAGTGTGCAGAGCCTTTGTACAGTAGATGAATGATTTGGCTATAAAAAATTCAATGTTTATATTTTCAGGCTTTTGATATCTCAATATTTATGTATTCGCACTGAAATGGTTTAAAATATTATTTGTTTCAACAGCCGTTGTTGTTCTGGATCTCTAGGTCAAAAATAAGATCTTAAAGATGTTTCAGTTCATATACTGTGCTGACATAGTGAGAAACATGGAATGACAGAACAGGAGACATGATGGAGTCAGACATGGGCACTTACAGAATATATAAATGAATTACACACACTCTTAAAGGCTGAAAACTATGAAAGCCAAAAGGTGCAGTGGAATGGACACTAACCTGAGGCGTCAGGCCGTGGCAGATGTACAGGATGGGAATGTTGTCCGAGTCGGGACCTTGATCCACACACAGATCCGGCCTCAGGCTGTTCCTCAGCTACATGCAAACACACACAACAAAGATGAACTAAATGGACCGGCACATTAGACCCATTTCACCCTGCAGAGGAAGAGATGAATTAAGATCACAAAAAAAAAACATCTTTCTTCCTCTGTCTGCTAATGGCCAATGTGCGTGAAAATGGCCTGGAGCTCAGCTTTCTTTTATCTTCACAATGGAGCTGTTAATTATGCTATTCCACAAAAGAATGCCAATTAGGAAAACCACTCTGTTGGCCTTGCATTGTGATAAATGACGAAACAGCAGGCCATGAGAAAGAAAAATAATACTCAGTAAAAACTATTGCTATAACTCAATATTATATCTTTCAGATATAGTGATGTCATGTCTCTAAGTGCTAATAAACTGCATTGTGTTTTGTCAAGCTAAATGAATAAATTTAGCTTTAAATATTTAAATATTTCTGTTGATGTGTTTAGAAAAATGCCATCATCTATTAATTAGGTAGTAACACCGGTTTTGTTGACTACTATTGGAAAAGAAGTGGATACTTACTACACCAAAAGCAATGATGTCTGTGTAGGTTCTCATCTCAGAATAAATATTCTTCAGGAACCAGCTGAAGGGTTTACAGCGGAGTCTCTCTCTGAGAGCTTTTCGGTCTCTGATATCACCAATATCGATCCCTGAGTCCTGCACACAAACATTTGCAATCGTGAACATACAAGAATTCATTTATAGAGCTCAAAAAAATCGAATAGCTGCTAGGACATGAGGACATCTCGTGTACATCTATCTTCAGGTTCAGGCACTTATGCTGACTTTAAGTGCAGTGCTTCTATATGCAGCTGCATTTCAATGCGTCATGTACAGTACAGCTCAGAAATGAGAGCTCGTTAAAAAGCTCTAACGCCTATGCTAGCTTAAATTATTCATGGTCATTACATCTCAACCCATTAAATCTTACCTCAAAATGACAAAACAGCATGTGTCCTTGAACATCCATCACATTCATGAATTGATATGGAACTGTAAGCCCTTCAAGGCCGTGTGTCTCAGAAAATCTGCCATGGTTAATGTGTGCTGTTAGGAGCAACGAGTGCCTAATCCCCATTAACCATAGTGAAAGTCAAAGTATGGTTAATGACTTCCTGAGGCCTTTTCTTTTAATTAAACAGTGAATACTGAAATATGATAAAAACAATGTTCAATAAATAATTACATTTAACTGTTTAAAGTTGAAAAAAATCTGAAACGTCAAGTGGAAATTGTTCCATCTTGCATTTTCCTAGTAGTATTCACTACTATACTATTTTTTTACTTTTATTAAATTAATACTATTGGTATCAAATCGATTAAATCACGTTTGTAAATATATAACTATTAAATGCTGCTAATTAAAAAGTGCATATCGGTTTCCACAAAAATATGAACCAGCACAACAGGTTTTAACATTGATAATAAGAAATGTTTCTTGAGCAGCAAATCAGTGTATTAGAATGATTTTTGAAGGATCATGTGACACTGAAGAGTGCAAACAGTAATCGAAAAAACCAAGGTTAATTTCCCTAAGGAGCAGTGAACGGCTTACAAAAGCAACAGAAAACAAGCTGTTCTCCATAAAATGTGTCGTGCATAGATAAATATTCAGATTATAACATTCAGAAACAGTGTTTAAATCAAGCGTTAGCCACTCTAAGTTCGTCAGAGTTTTGGAAACATAGCGACAACACTGTCTTTTCTAATGCGACCCAGATGTTTCCAAAACATTTGTTGTCGCTCTTTTTTGTGTATTCCGTGGGTGGACATTACAACATGGTGAATTAATAAGATCAGGAAAAATCCCATTGCAGTCCAAACGAGCCGATCGTTGTGGCTCTTGGACAGTGGATTCTGTTAAATAAAATATCTCCCTTTAGAGTGGATTTTGAGCTTTGTAACCTTGCAGATCTTTTTTTATACTCAAACAGCAACATTACACACTAACTAGAGTTAAAAAAGTGGAAAAACACGAGTTGAACAAGTGGAAAAGCATAATAGGACCCCCTTTTTTTGGATTAGTGATTCAGAAATATTGCAGACTCTTAAATAGCTCGTATACATTTTAAATAATGTGGTTTCTTTAATTCTACACTTATAAAAGCTATTAGTTTATTTAATATTTATTTTATCAGTTTATTTTAACGTGGCCCATCCAGTCAACTATTCATAGATTTAGTACCTGTTGTGGAACGTTCCAGGCCATGTAAACGTGGCTCTTGAACTCGTCCATCCACACCTCGGCCACTCTCAGAGCGTTCCTGCGTACGTGAGTTGCCAGGTCCTGCGTGTAGGGCTTGTGGGCGCGCTCAATATGAGCTATTCTGGAACAGGGCATGACCTCCACACTTCCTCCGCACAGCCATACCTGATTACACACACGAATGGAAGGACGAAGAAAAATTCGCTCTGTAAAATGCCCTTTTACTTCCATTAGGCACTCTACAAAAACAAATATGCCACATTCTTATGATTCATTAGGGAGTATGTGAGTCCTTACTTTTTTATTACTGATAAAAACCCACATAAATAAACCCAAACTCCACAAGGAACAAAAAGCACTTTTGTTAATTAGAAAATTTAAAAAGGGTTTGTGTAAAAAATAAGCTAAAAATCAAGGATGCTCATTTCCCATAATCATCATCTAAAGGTTACTCACTTCCACACAGCGGAGCTCTATGTTCAAACTAAACTCCCAAAACTGCTCTTCATTTACAATATAGAGGCTTTTTAACGTATATCGAACCTATTTGAGAGCTCAAACAGACCATTTAATATATTCCCTTACATGCTACTGACATTGAGGGCACATTGATGGGAGAAAAACCACAAACCGCTGCTGTTTTCCTGGAGTGCTTTCATAAACATTAATAGACATTTGTTCAATGATTTACCCTCAATTAGTGCATGTTACGCAGCTGAAAATAGAGAGTGGCAGCTTATTTGTGTGTGTTGGTTTGATTCCCTGTATTTTTTCCACCCACTGCACACATGCTGAGCTTCTAAACCGGGAGCATCTCTCTGTGCTTTGCACATCTCTCTAGTAAATCTTCACACAGGATTATATAGGCCACATGCCAGCATGCTGCACTTCATTCAGACATTCACACCCAAACACTTGCATTCAGGCCTGGTTTGGTGAAATATGAATTGCAACATCTGGCTAGGGCATACATCAGGGTCGTTTCAGTCAAATATAAAGTTGATTTATCAAGAGACCCTGGTGCCGTATTTTGAATATGAATAATTGTTTGAAAAGGAAGGGCGGTATCACATTTTCTCCGTCTGATCTGCATGTTTGGCAGGCTTTTAAATGCCAAGACTTGTTGGGCGGGATTCAACAGGAAGTGGACAGATGCGTGTTTGCCAGGAGAATGATTTATATGCATAATCATTTGACAGCAATCCCAATGATCCATGACTGAGCCGTCTGTTCTCCCAAAGCATTAAAAAATCATTTTTTCATTATTTGCATACAATACCTGCTGTAGACGGAGATATTCAGACCTTAATTGCACAGAGGCAAATTTTCCAAGCATAAAATGACAATCAAACCAGTTTTATATTGTCTGGGAGACATTTAAAGCTTGGTCTCTTTCCCCAAAAAATCTTATACGCGGGCAATCCAGAGCGTCCTAAACACATTCATTCATGCTGACTGCAGGAATGTCCACCACAGCTGTTGCCTGTGAAGTGAATGTTCATTTCACTACCATAAGCCATCTCCAAAGGCGTTACAGAGAATCTGGCAGTAGATCCATCCGGCCTCACAACTGCAGACCACGTGTAACCACACCAGCCCAGGACCTCCACATCCAGCATCTTCACCCCCAAGATCGTCTCAGACAAGCCATCCGGACAGCTTCTGCAACAACAGGCTTGCATAACCAAAGAATTTCTGCACAAACTATCAGAAACCGTCATCCTCATCTGTGTCTTGACATGACTGCAGATGGCAGACAGCGTGTATGGTGTCGTGTGGGTGAGCGGTTTGCTGATGTCAACGTTGTGGATTGATTGGCCCATGGTGGCGGTGGGGTTATGGTATGGGCAGGCATATGTTATGGACAACGAACACGGGTGCATTTTATTGATGGCATTTTGAATGCACAGAGATACCGTGACGAGATCCTGAGGCCCATTGTTGTGCCATTCATCCATGATCACCCATCACCTCATGTTGCAGCATGATAATGCACGGATCTGTACACCATTCCTTGAAGGTGAAATCATCCCAGTTCTTGCATAGGCAGTGTACTCACCGGACATTGAGAATGGTTTGGAATGCTCTGGATCGGCATATACGACAGCGTGTTCCAGGTCCTGCCAATATCCAGCAACTTCGCACAGCCATTGAAGAGCAGTGCATATTTTGCATGATGCATGAATAATAAAATGACCTTGTATGTGTTCAACGCTACCCTACCTTGACTAAATTAACCACCAATAAACATTATTGACAAAGTCATTACTCTTTACCTGGAACAAAACTGACATTCCGTGGCAACAGATTGCAACAACACAAAAAACTATGCTGACATCTAACATGATCGAAGAAAGTATTCATTCTCCATCACTGATAAACAGCCCTTTAGCGAGGGCTAAGAATAGAAGAGCACAGATGCGTTGACCTTTCATTGAGTGTGCACCCGCTTCCAAAGCGCAAAATAACTCCTGTCAACACAATGTCAATGAGGGTCAGCAAAACGGTAAAAAAAAAATTAGCTTCAGACAGTGCCTCCAGCGTGAGTTTGACTGACAGGGTGCAAATGCAGAAAACCATCAATCCAAATATCTGCAAATAAAAGTAAATAAAAAAAAAATGCAGAATAGAAGATTGTACAAAAACAGAATCATAGTATTCTTAATCATAAGATTAAAAATATTGTTTCAGTTTTAAAATAACTTTAAAAAAATGTATCAATGTTGTAAGTCGCTTTGGATAAAAGCATGTCCTAAAAAAATAAATGTAAATATATTCTCTAAGTTTTAAAATCAAATGTAAGATGCATCTCAAGGAATTTTCTATTGTTTTTAGGAATTTTCCGACAAAAATACAGATTATTTTTGGTACACAATACACAGAATGACAGCTAACCACTTCTTTCTTCTATCCTTTTCTTTTGGTATATAATAAAATACCAGTTCAGGGTTCCTCTTTCGGGTGTTTGTGCAGCCAACTGCACAACATATTGCAGGCATTACTGAGAGACCGTTGGTCATAAAGATGGCGGCGCAAAGCTACAGTGACGTCATGTGACCCGAACGAATATGACGCCATTGACTGGCGACTCCTCACCCCTGCTCACACATTTCCTTGGTTAAAATCTCACGATTTACAAATATCTCATGACTTACAAATAGTTGGAAACATTCGGGATATTGTAAGTAATCAACTAAACAAAATATATAACATTGGCCTAGTGGTTTTTGGATTTTACTGCAGAAATCCTACATATTGCACCTTTAAGCTAAAATTCATATAAAATATCCTTAAATATTTTCGAGTGAAAAGTAATTTTGAGTGTGAAAAATATCTTGTTTTTTTTTCCCATTGGGAGTGGCATTCCATTAAAAAATGTAGACAGATCTGAAGCGAAGGCAAGTTTACAATCAGCCCAAGTCATCAGAGAAGGAATGCTGTTTTGGAGAGGAAATATCTTCAGATTTTAATGAAATATTATCAAGACACTCATTTTTAGTGGATTGACTTACACGGATGAATTGTTCACATCCGTAAATAGAGTCCATTTTGATTTCATGAGAACTTTAAGACTAAAAATATATTACAATAATGATAATAATTTTATTGCTATAAAACAAGACAAAAATACTGATTTAAAATGATTTTTTTTTCAGTCCCTATAGCATTTGTTGCATTTAAAAAATACACTAAACATACAATTAAATGACAATGAACATTCATCTCAATATCATTACTTTTGGGAAAGTCAGGGTTGCAACATTTGGAGCGATGCAACAATGTTGCATTTGGAGATTCGGAGGCACAAAGGAGCTTAAAAGATGAGAGTGAAGAATTAGGCTGTAGAGACACAGCTGTATGAACAGATGTTGAGAGCCATTATCCGAATCCTGCCGCACACATGTGCCTGCCTCTTCCTGAGACATTTCCATTTCCTCTCTGCTCATTGAGGCCCTTAGTGATGAAATCAGGAAGAAAAAAAAATCATAATGGATGTCTGTGCGTGTAATGGGGGTTTGATCCGCTCTGTATTGTGACGGTGCACCCCGCGTGGAGTGATTGCTAGGCCAAATCACAGTAAGAGCAAGTGGCTGTGTGTCCGCTGGCAAGCTCCATTCACAGCCTGGGCTTGAATTCTGGCAGCGGAGGCAAATTACAGTGCCGCTGGGTTTGATGGGAGTCGGCAGAGGTCTCGATAGGGCTCTGTACATGTGTAAAACTGAGAGGTTAGGACCCCGCCAGTTTGGAGCAAAACGTCTGGAAGGCAGGTTATCATTAGCAAGCTGCAGAGCTCCACTTTAATTGTGTGTGATGTTACACACTAGGGCTGCACAATGTCGGAAAAACATTTCACACACGCACACGCATACACACACACGCACAGACACACACTAGAGACTGCAAACCCCCACATATCCATCTGCCCTCAAAGAACAACCTGTATAAAGCATCTTTTCATCAAATGAAACAGCATTATTCATTGGCATGCGTCTACTTGTCTACTCAAACTCCAGACATCCTGTCTCCTGCTGTACTTTCAAAACTCTCGTAGGCATTCTGAATAGCTCTTACCCTGATCCCCAGCTCCACGTTTTCCCCTCCATAAACTTCCATCCCTTCATCCAGCAGACCAATCTCCTCAAAATACTCCCTATCGACTACAAAGCAACCGATCAGAGCGGGACTCCTGCAGAGAGAGGAGATGCACACAACAACAATGAGCTCAAATGAGTTATGAAAACATATTTTACTAAATTAACGGTATGTAGTCATTAGGAATTGATATTAAATTGTCTGATCCAATTTCTTGAGTCACAGGAAACAGGTTGTTAAGAGGGCAAGGAGAGTGATTAAAAAAAAATGAGTGCTGTCAAATCGATTAATCGTGATTAATCGCAGCTAACATAAAAGGTTGTTTATGTACTGTATGTGTAAACATATTAAATGTATATAAAGATGAGTTTCTTCAGAAAGCCTGAACGAGTCTCTTTTTTTTTCTTCCTCAAATAGCCAAATTTTGGCAGCAGATTTCGCTTACGGCCATACCACCTTGAGAACGCCCGAACTCGTCTGATCTCGGAAGCTAAGCAGGGTCGGGCCTGGTTAGTACTTGGATGGGAGCCCGCCTGGGAATACCAGGTGCTGTAAGCTTTATAATTTACTACCCTAATGTTCTAACCTTTCAAATAGCCCAATTTGGGCAGCAGATTTCGCTTACTTTGTACTTTTGTCAGTTAAAAAAAAGGTTAAAAAGAATGAACAAATTACAGATTTGTTATTTTATTGAATTTTACAAAATGTCCCAACTTTTTTTTGATTTTGGGGTTGTATATTCAAATCTGATAATCTAAAAAAGCATTCAGATTATATTTGACAAAATTTACTGGTTATTGATTAACATATGAGGTTCACTGTAAGGTAACCTAAACAGTAATTGTGAAATTTGTCAAAAAAAGGTCCTAAATGATTTTTTTTTTGTTAAAAGGCCAGTCTTAAAGGTGCAATGTGTAAAAATTTTAAGTATCTATGAACAGAATTGCAACATGACATGCCTTACTATGTTTTCAGTGGTCTATAAAGACCTTACTTGATTAACCGTTATGTTTTGACTACCTTAGAATGAGACATTTATATCTACATAACCACGGGCACCCCCTTCTATGAAGTCGACATATTGTGACGTCATGTTTCTACCGTAGCCGTCCGACAGCGAACTGTCTCTTTCAATACCTTGAAAGAGAATCAGCAGAAAGCTAGAAGCTAGTCATAGACACTGTGAGAAGTGACTTTTCCCTTGTCAGTGGTGTAAAATATGTAGTTGGATTGTTTCATGTTACTTAGTTATTCTCCCTCGCTGTGTTATGGCTTTACTATGTGGGGACAAATGTGCTGGTTACGTTTGTGAGACAATCAGCTGATTACTATTATTATATTATATATTAAGAGCCTTGATCCTCACCTGACTGTGGTTTTGTATGGACTGTGGTACAGAAACAGTGACAATGTTACACACTCTTGGCTTACTCTGGCTATTCTCTGCTGTCTCAGACGACGATTTTTGTCCCGTTTTAGTCACCGCAGCTGTGGTGAGCAGTGGGCTGAGCCCTTAGTGTAACTCGCAACCGAACTGCAAGATGTTGCTAAAAAATACACACTGCACCTTTAAAACAAAAACTAGTTATAGATAGATGAGAACCTATCTTAGTAGAGCCATTGAGCTGACACTGCGTGTATCTTGCTTGAATACCTGATTGGAGCAGTTTGATTCTTCTGTGTCCACCAGGATTTGGGAGGATTTAGATAGCGACACCAAAGTTCCCAGTCGAACCCTTGAGCCGAGAGGGGATATTCTTCGATCTCAAACGTGTCGTATTTGATGTTGTCGAATGAAGGCGAGATGACCCGGGTTCTGTCCTCTTTGATTCTGTGAAGGATTGGTTCAGCCCTTAGATCAATAGAAATAGAACATGCTTTAAGTTCAAGAACACTAGGTTTTTGATGGATCTATCTAATTTTGTCTCTTGGAGCTCCGAAATCATAGGATACAATGTTTAATGAAGCCCCTTTAATGCCACTGCAGCTCGAAGGTGATTTCACACTTGATTATTAAAGCTGATTGTAGATTTCAGAACCCATCGATCTAAAACTTAAAATGTCACTTTCGGAGATAATGGTACTTTAAAAGACCATCTCAAAAGTTGTAAAGACAGGCATTAGTGCTGCATTTGGACTCGGAAAATAGCCTCAGGCAAGCTAAAAGCTATACTATATTCTCTATAAAAACCACATCGAACCCCAGAGAAAATTCCAGGTGCATCCATGGCCTGATGGAACGCAGTATGAATTTCGAGCAGGAATAAGCTGACATCTGTAAGATACACTTTGGACGCTATCTAAGCCCTTTAAGAGTTTTTTTTTTTTTTAACGAGGTGCACTGAGAATAATTAACAGGTAAGGTATATGAGTTGACAGCTGTGCCTAGAGCAGTAATTGCAGTAGACAGGCACTTCTGCTAATATTCCTGGCCTCACACCCACATGGAACTCACACCGCACAGAACAGCATTTCCATCCACATACAGTTTGTCTCCATCTCCATTTGAACAGTTATACTCACATAACGTGATTTGTTAAGCAAGCAATGTTTTGAATTCACTCGTATTGGGGGTCAAAAGAGCAATGAGGGTCACAAGTTATAATGCTCCATAAAACAACATTATGCAGAAGGCCTATTCACACCAAATCTGAATTCTCAGCATGAAAATGCCAGCACGACTATGTCTATGAATTTCCTTGCAGAAACAGTTTTTTTTAATATTATTTGGAGGACAGATTGATTTTCTATTTGTTTGAATGCCAAACAGAGAAACTTGCAAAACTATATGAATATGTTGTACTTTCATCCTGTTTAGTCACATCAGACCGGGTACAAATAGGCTGTAGCAGAAAACTGGACGTGAAAATGAGATTTATTCAGAACCTTTGGACCTCTTTCATGAAACGCATGCAAATTGTTCAGTGGAAATTGTTGTTCCTAAAGCCATTGTTACATATATTGCCTTGATCGACTAAGTGTGGAAATTCCCATAACAATAGTTTTATGAACAATTTTCACTGATTATAATTTTGTTTAGCATTTTCTACAACCCCATATATTTATATATATATATATATATATATATATATTTAACATGTAAATTGTTTATAACTTCTATATTATATGAACTCTCAATACATTTTTTTTTTAATAAAAAAAACCTTTTTAGCATTTTCTTGCTCAGTTCTGAAAGAAAATAACCTAAAAACACTGACCATCCGATGTTGAACTCCACGTGAGCGTCAAACAGGGCCACGATGGGGGCGGTCGCAGCTCTCCAGCCACTGACCCGAGAGCGAATCAAGCCCTCCTGTTTCTCATGCCGAACCACTTTAATGAAGTCGGGATGCTGCTGGTTGGTCTCATCCACAAACCTCTGCAGGTTTTCTGACAGTTCAGCTTTGAGTCAATGGAAGGGAAAGAGGGATTTAGTTGAAAAACCCGCAACATATACACTCATACCTGTGGTTTACTAAATCACCCTTGTGCCCACTAAGAAGGTTTCAGTGCTCAGGAGAAATGAAGCGGGAGACCCCAGTGACACGTGCACCTGCTTGCACCTGACTTTTATTACATTCTAATCAAAATTCGTTTATATAGACTCCCCCCTTGACCTCTTAGGGAATTATGAACATGTACTGAAACGCTGCAAACATCAGACATTAATATTTGCCAGGGGTCTGTGATATTTGGAGTCTTCACCGCTGTCTGCTGGTGATTACTCCCCTCCCATCTGTCTCCCGTCCTGTTTGTTTTTATTAGACAGAAAGCCATCAACCTGTCTCACCATGGCAACCAGATGGTGTTACGTGGGGCCACTGCCAATCTGTGAGAGAATGTTCAAACCTCTGTACCTCACGTTAACCCCCTTGCCCCCTCGCTATACCTCACAGACGCAGAGTAAAAGGTCACTGTAGCATAACCACTGTGAAGTCATTATTCTAGAAAAACCAAATACTTTAGAGGTGACTGGGAGCAAATAAAAAGCTTTACTTTCTGATGCGACTGAGATAAACCCACCTCAGTAATGTACTTTTCCCCACAACAAAGCAGTTATCTTCAGAAAATAATCATTATTAAGCCGGCAGTCTACACCAGGGCTTTTCAAACGTTTTAATGCGAAGGAAAAACAAATCATCGATCCCCTTGCTAAAATATAAAAGTATATAAACTCACCTAAAGGATTATAAGAACACGTGTTCAATTTCTCATGATTGCAATTATCTAATCAACCAATCACATGGCAGTTGCTTCAATGCATTTAGGGGTGTGGTCCTGGTCAAGATGAGTCTCGATTTCTGTAGAGACATTCAGATGGTAGAGTCAGAATTTGACGCAAACAGAATGAGAACATGGATCCATCATGCCTTGTTACCACTGTGCAGGCTGGTGGTGTTGGTGTAATGGTATGGGGGATGTTTTCTTGGCACACTTTAGGCCCCTTAGTGCCAATTGGGCAATGTTTAAACGTTTCTGACCATGTCCATCCGTTTATGGCCACCATGTACCCATCCTCTGATGCCTACTTCCAGCAGGATAATGCACCATATCACAAAGGTTGAATCATTTCAAATTGGTTTCTTGAACACGAGTTCACTGTACTAAAATGGCCTTCACAGTCACCGGATCTCAACCCAATAGAGCATCTTTGGGATGTGGTGGAATGGGAGCTTCGTCCCCTGGATGTGCCTCCCACAAATTTCCATCAACTGTAAGATGCTATCCTATCAACATGGGCCAACATTTCTAAAGAATGCTTTCAGCACCTTGTTGAATCAATGCCACGTAGAATTAAGGCAGTTCTGAAGGCGAAGGTGTGTCAAACACAGTATTAGTATGGTGTACCTATACGTATTCAGTTTTACTAATATAAAAATATGTATCTGTAATATTAAATACAACCTGTATAATTATGTTTTATAGTATATATTTATGATATAATATTTAATAATATTATATCATATTAAAATATTACCAGTGAAAGTTTAGTATTTTTAACAATAATTATTATTAATATCTTTAAAACTTGTAAAATATATTTTTACTTTTAGGTCACTATATCGTATATATTTTATATTTTTGATCTCTGGAATATGAATTATTATTGAAAATTGCCATTTATTATTATTAATATATTTCATATTTCAAATATTACATTTGTATTTATTTTATTAAGTTGAAAGCGTATCTTTTCCCACCACTATCAATTTGAACAGAAAATTATTTGTAAAAGAAATTTATTTGCTAAAGCAGCTTTACAGAAAAAAAGTGAAATGCTTATTCTAAGCTGTGTCTGTGAAACCAGGCCATATGCAAGTTGGCACACTGCCTAAGTAGATTTCTCTTTAAATAAAGATTTTACTTGATTAAACAGGTTGCTTCAAGACCAGAACATTTGTGAGAGGAAAGTCTCGCTTCAGACGCCAAAGCATAAAACATTTAGATGTGCAGCAGCATACTGGAAACATGTACATCTGCTGCCCATAATCCCCAATTGTTATCATGTTACAGACCTCAGATATCCTTTCCACATGAATCCACATTCATATGCATTATTCATCGTAATCTGTCATACAAGAATCAATCCCCACTGAAGGAGTCCTTGTCTGCCTCTGGCAAATCAAAAAAACAGTGCTGGGGCAGCAACAGGCCCTCACCGTTGTTGCTGTTGTCATCCACGAGGATTATCTCCTTGAGCAAGTGAGAGGGCGTCCGATGGATCACCGAATGAATTGAACGCAAGATGACTGATAGAGCCTCATTCATAAAGATGAAGATGATGCTGACTTGGGGTAGACTGGAGGGATATGAGATGTTTCTGCACCTGCAGGAGGAAAAAAAGCAGACATAAATAGAGGATCAAACACCTGGAAGAGACTTTGCGTGATTAAATATCACTCAGTTTCCTTGGTTATGCCTTTAATCGCACTGGTAGCATTTGAGAACAGAATTAAATTTCAGTTTGAAGAGTCTAAAAGGGGATGATGTATTTTTCATTTTAAAAATGAAAGTACAAGACATTGATTTTATATGGCCATTTTACATAGGTGTTATAACCCCCTGGGGTCAGCTATCGCGCCGGCGCGTTTGTCTCGCTTTTTTTCTTATCAGTGCAAAATAGACTAAAATAACTCAAATTTTTGTCATACTTGGGTTAAATTAAATAATTGGCTTTTATATTGTACATACAGACAAATTTATTTATTAAAATATTATCTGTATTTTACTATCTATATTTATACATTTTATAGATACTCTAATATTTAAACTTATTCTAAAAACAATATAAAAATGTATGGAGCCCTTTAATGGATATGGTGGTGGGAAAAATATGGAATGGGAGGGGGAAAAAAATATTTCACACAAAAATTGGTTACTTTTGAGTTTTGTGAGAGAACGCAAAAGCATTGAAATATTGTTTTTTTCTGCCAGACCATTTTTTCCCCCACAATATCCCTTTAGAGGCTCCAGAAATATTTACATTACAATTAATATACATAATGTATCATAGAATTGTCTGTATGCATATATTTATTTTTGGCTTATCAGTCAATTTTTTATGACAACTGATATAAAATATATAAATTATTTTATTGTTTAACTTTCGATTGTGTTTTATTGACCAGACTGAGTCTTTTTTTTTGTTCACCATGAACAAAATGATACAGGAAAATGTTTGCAAAAGAACAAAGGGTGAGTGCATATACAGTATGCTAATAAGAGTGATTCATTTACCCGTCTGGCCTGAGGTCTGGGATGGATCTGTCTAAAGAAAGCCTGTCGCTGAGGTAGCCGTTGTAACCATAGTACTGGAACTTCTTCAGGGCCACCTTGCGGCTCTCTGGACCGAGGTCATGACCCCAGCGTGCAAAAAGAGAGTCTGAGAGGGACATGTCGGCTGTGTCGTCCCCATCTTTTAAAGGTTTCTCTAGAAGTTCAGACAAAGAGAACAGTCTTAGCAGTGTAAGCCCAAAGCCTTCTGGGTGGTCAACACCTGGGCTGTCACAAAGTCTTTAACAATATCAACAAATCAAATAACGTACAAATTGAAAATAATTCAAAAACTACAATAACAACAATTTATTTAAAAAACAACAATATTAATAATTTTTCACATTTTATGTTTTAATATTTCAATTATTTCTTTCATTAGAATTAGTATTATTATTGCTCTTCTAGTTTCTCTGACTATATTTTAATAACAACCGAAATAGTATTATTAATAATTGACATACTTATTAATAATAATAATAATTAGTAATATTAATGCATTAATATGAACAATACCATAAAACAATACATTCTAATATAATTCAATACCACACACACACAAAATCAATCAATCAATCAATCAATCAATCAATATTTATTTATAAAACACATTAAAAAAATTTGACAAAAGTGCTGTACAATGAAAACATGAATAAATCAATAAACTAATATGAGGAACAACACAATGAAAAAATACCATGTTTTTTTTTAACATGATACTAAGGTACCATGGTAAATCCATATTTAGACATGCGACAATAACATACTGGGAGTATTGTATACAATGGCATAATTTAATACTGCGGTATTATGGTATGATAACACCTTACTTTGAAGACAGCCAGTTTTCAAAAAATTTGATTCAATTGCTTCTGTAACTTCTATTCATCAATTTGGCGATCCCATCAAGGTCTTGAGGAAAGCTAATTCTTCTTGCAGAAACTCTAAATCAAGCTGCATAGACAGCAAATATCTGCCTTCTACTACATCACATTCAAAAACTAAGAAAATATGACAGGTTGTAAAACTCTGACTGCTGAGTATGCAGGCAGAATAGTGGGAAAGAGCCCTGGCAATGCTCAAAAAAATAATGAAAGGCCAATGCAATGCAGGTAATTAAGGAATGCTAATTAATAGCAGAGGTTATTTAATTACAGCCACTGCAAAGAGCTGGTCTGGGGAGAATCATTCATCTTTGCAACTGACACACAGTTTGAAACCAACTTCACAGCAGAAGACACTGCTTTCACAATCTATAAACGCCTTTTAAGGGGCTGTCGTGTATTCCATTTTAGGCTGCTATTCCCTTACATTTACATCCGAAATCATAAATAATAATTTTTAAAAAATCAATTTTTATTTCCAAACAGCATCAGCAATCTCAACATAGGACCGTGGCTAGAATTAGTAAAATAGAAGGCTAGGCATGCAGCAATAGAGTCGTTTACAGTAAAATTGAGCTTAGTATCGCGGCTAGTAATTCACCAGCGAGTGCCAAGAAGTCTGTTCCTAATGGCGTTCATTGATACGTTCTGATTTGCAGAGTAAATACTCTAAATAGGTGTCCTCTGTCGTTGTGCTCGAAATTACTTTAGATTCAGACGATAATCCATGCAGTTTCAATGACACTGTTGTTTTGGATCATGCTAAGAAAAGAGAGTCAAACAGAGACACTGCAGAACCTGACAGATCAGTGGGAGCAGGTATAAAAAAGGATATTCTTTCACATGATGTGAACAAAAGGAAGAATACTTTAAAGTTTTCTTATAGCACCTACTGTGATATTCATTTCAGTCTTGTCTTCTGGACAGCAGGAGATATGTGGAAATCACACTGATAATAATTACAGAAATGCTAAGCAACAAGCCTACTGAAGTTAGGGACTAAACATGCTAAAATTAACTTAGCTATTCGTTTTCTTTAAATTTTAATGCAATAAACATTTTCAAACTACTGTTAAAAAAAAGTGAAGACTTATTTAATATATGAAATAAGTGACTAATAAAAATATTCATGCTTGCAGAAGAAGTACTAACATGGCCTTTACTCAGCAAATAGAGCGTCGACAAAAACTAGGCTATACGCTCATTTTACAAGGTTGTTTGAAATCAATTTTTATAATCTGTAACTAACCACTGTGCTCAGTAAAGTTGATGAGACAAACCCCTGCACTACACACTATGTATGTACTTACAGCCCTGATTGTTACTAGATTAAGTTCTCACAGCCAAGTAAATTACTTTTTCATCTCTTTGGCTATCAACAAAATACAAAACTGTAAGCTACAGACAAAATATTTCTAAAAGGGTATAGCAGAATCCGCTAGTATTTCCATTAAAATATCTCTTTACAAGAAAGAAAGCCCTAAACCTGGCTTTCTTTTTGACTGTAGAACACAAGAGAAATTTTTGAAGGCCAATCGTTTCAATATAATGAAAAACAACGAGGACTGGGACTGTGAAGCTTCAAAATGACAAAAAAAAAAGCACCATTAAAGTATCATAACAGTGGTGCACCACATTACAAGTCTTCCAAAGTCATACGCTAGCTTTAAGAGAATACATTATCCAATATTTTCCACGGAAGAAGGAAAGTCAAACAGGTTTGGAACAACATGAGGGAGAACTATTCCTTTAAAACACAGCTAGAAGAAAAGATTGAGGTTGTGAGAGAAATATAGTAAGGATCCAATCCAAAAAAAAAAAAAATGTGAACACCTCAGGAGGGTTGCGTCACAACGGACGGCTAGCATTTCTGACCTCGCCTGTGGCATGCCAGCGTCTGCCTGTCGGTGCCAGCTCTATGGAGCGAATGTAAAACAAGACACCCAGCATGTAACCCAAACTATTGAAGACCGCATGCAAACAGCCTGCAAATGCAAAAACATCATGTCCTTCTGACATTTCGGAGAATCTCTTTGCCACAAATGAAGGGTTCGCATGTCACTTGTGGTTTGCGTGCATGTGTATGAGGTCTGAGCACTCTGACTCAAAGACCCAAGATGGCATTGAAAGCCAAAATATGAGAGAACTCACTTTACCCTGATGAGTTATATAGCTGACCTAATGTTTTGCTGTCAAACCCATAGGCCGATGAGACAACACAGCAGGCCAACAGCTCTGATTACCGAAAAAATAGAATACAATACACACACAATAAGCATATGAGATATGCATATCACTGGAAAAACAATATATGGATGTTTCTTCATCTACAGCCACTTTTATTCCCCAGGGATTGATTTTTATTAAAACTGATTTTAACTTGAAGGTCACAATAAAAGGCTTTATTCAATGCTTTCATTATTCTTGTACTTTTCAACTATATTTTTATGTAAAGATTTTTATTTATTTAGTTTTATTGTTTTAACAGACCAGATATTCGACCATTAAAAGTGACATAACTATTCTAATAATAACACAATAAATGAGTGACGT